TTGAAACTGGTAAAGCCTGGTAACAATATGTGACATATTAATATTTTATCAATTAATTATCAATACATAGTTAGTAATTAATAACATTTACATAGTATTTAATAAGGATTACAGAAACAATAGAGAAATAATTAATCGCATATCTAGTATAATACTGGATTAACTCGTAAATTAAAAAATATTGGAAATCCATTACAAAATGTATAGATCTAATTTCAATTTTTTAAATTAATCCAATATTATACTAGGTGTGCGATAATATGTTCTCGCTTGCCTGATTTAGTAAACTAACTTGACAGGTATAGATACTGAAAAGAGGGCTAAGACAAATCAATAAACTTCTAGGATAAAACACTATTTAACTGTTGTATTATTTTCAAATTAATAATTTCGTTAAAAATAAACCATTGACAAGACTATTAATCAAAACCAAGAGATAACAGAGACTTTATAAAGAAATAAATGATTATAAAAACATTCATTATTCAATTGACAGCAGTTACAAACTTACAATTACTATACAAATTAAAACGTCCTAACTATAGTAGAACATGTTGTGACCATTATCCCGTTATGGCTCACACAGGACCAAAGACCACGGTTTGGAACGAATCAATTTTACGTATAATTGATTCGTATGAAGATCGAAACAAGGAATCCTCTCCCATACTGTGTACTGCGGCCTTAATGCAAGAAGCATTAAGGTCTCAGTCACATTATAGTACAGTATTTATTGGTATTGGTCGAAAGTTGACAAATAGCTTAAAGTTTAGATTATCTTCATTACAATGAGTGATTACGAACAACAACATACATTTAGACATAATGAATACGCTAACAGTATTGAGGGAGCTATAATTAAACCCCCATATTCTATTAAATTCCACCCCTTTTGTAAGATTTCACGCTTGATGGAACAATACAATGCCATGTCGATCAACTGTTTGTCCCATCATCAGATCATATCCTGCAAAATTCTAAACCCATAATATGACCATCTATATTTTCGGAGCAATTTCAGAAACTTCCCATTCATCGCAGAACATAGCTTATATGTACACTTTCCACTTCAGAGCGTATTTTATGGAAGTCTCATAAACTTGTGCTTCATTCTGTAATTTTTTATAAAGAGTAGAGATTTGAATTTAATTTTCTTTGTATTTTTCATAATGGATAAGTATAAAAATACTTGAATAATTTAACATATAGCAAGATATATTGCCATTGAGTAACATATTCCACGCTGCCAGCACCGTGGTATACAGTTAATCAGTGGCGTAGCTTGGAGGATGCATAGGAGGCCATAGTCCTAGGTGGCATAACAAAACTGATGAAAAAATTTGTAAAGTAAATAATAAAACTCTATGGAAATAAAACACGTGGTACTTTTCTTTTTCCATACAGTAAAGATATCTTTTATTAATTAACCCGCTTTATTTGATTTTACTATTTTTTAACTAAAAATTAAAATAGAGAGTGGCGAATTTTTAATTCCGCCTCCGCCCAAGGCGGAGTCAGACCACGCTACCCCTCTGCAGTTAGTTAAAAAATAATTAAACAATTTTTAATATTTAGGATATTTTCCTTTAAAAAATGTCTTGTAGCATTAAAATTGAAAGTTATTATACAATAAAAACAAATCAATCAATGAATAAACTGCAGAATTGGATACTGAAAAGTACATGTATTTAATTTATTAACAATTTTTTTAAAAAACACAGATTTTGTTACAGATTAGAAGTTCAGAGACTTCGATAATCAACGCTCTTAAGCATCTTATTTTATAAAAGGCTTCTGTAATATTAAAGCTTTTATTTTTTTAAAGTTACATGGAAGTGTAAAGTTTAAGCAAATTGTCATTTAATAAGATTCAATCATCAACAGTCTAACCAATTCCACAATAAACGCTTTTTAAAAAAAATATCTCGTATTACAGTCATTTTTTTTTCAGTTAATACTTAATTATTTAAATGAAATGGCAGTGAAAATTTCGCAATACTTTAATTTTTTCAATCACGGCCGCAATTGGCGAGGCTCAGTCAAAACTTATTTATTAAACAAATCTCAAATCCTACATCTGATGAGGAACTATAGACGCGGAACACTAACACAAATAAGATCGACTTACGTATTTATTATGCCTTTAAAATATATTTTTTAATTTTACATTTCGCGCCTAAACATTTTGAGCAAAACCATAGACAAAGAACATTGAGCAGTCGAAGATTTTATATGCAAAAATAATTTGCACACATATCACGTGGTACCAAAATCTCTAATTATTTGTCTGTGTTAATTTTTATTTCCAATAAATTAAAGCACATCATCTGTTATTGTATTAAAAAAATATTATTGCCAGTACCTTAAAATATCATTATCTTATAAACGGCATTAAAACACTACGAACGCGTGAATGTATGTATAAATGTAAAATACTAATAAAGGCAGTGATTCGATTCCAACGATGACTATAGGATAGCTCTATGGTCAAAGTGTCACACCATATGGGTATTAAACTACTTATTACATTATCAATTACATACTTTATTCAAATATATACATATAATGACATTATTACTAGTAATCGCATCGACATAATAATTTATGGACTATACACTAATGTTATAAAGAGGTTCAGTATTTTTATATGTTTGTAACAAATACAATTTACTTAAAATCAGTAATTTATAAGACCAAAGACCTTTTTTCTAGTTTCCTAAATTTATAAAAATGTGTTTGATTAATTTAAGGACCTGAAACTTGCATTCTAAATAAAGGTAATAGATGAATTTGCGACTTGCCTCAGATGGTATACGGACCTAACGCGCACATTCCACATTCAACCAATTTAACTTATTACGAGTCCTTAGTTTACTTTTTAAGGTGTATATTTAAATTTATTTATTTATTTCAAATTATTAGCATACAAAACAGATTACAATCAATACAAGAATTTGATATACAGATGCATTCAAATTGCATTTATACACTGTAGTATCAGAAAATATGCATCTAGAAACGTTCTAATGTTCGAATAGTTCTAACCGTGGGTACGAAGCCCTTATATTATTATGTTGATGCCTCCACATGCATCAGTTTGGCGCCATCTAGTGTCAAGAGATTCAACGTCGCTTACGCTGCAGAAGTTATTTCTGCGGCGTTCTTACATACCTTGGCAAATTTGACAACCATTAAAAAATGGGAAGCAATGATTATTCATTACTAATTATTACTTAAAATCTATATATGTATATACTTTAAATATATCTGAATAACTCAGATTAACAAAAAAAGTAAGGGTAACAATACACTGCGCACAATAAAAATGAAGTCTTAAAACCCATTATTAATATAGTAAATCGTTATAACACGAATAATTTTATGGTAAATAAGGTATATTTAACTCTCTAGACGAACTAGACTCTCGACTAAATTACACTTTCCGTGTCAAAGTGACGCACTTGACAATGACGTCTCTCTCACACACTACACTTGCATATAAGCGACAGCGCGTTGGTGTTTTTTACACGTACACAACAAATATTCTTGTCTATTTGTCTAGCTCATTGTTATATATACATAATAGTGTATATATGTAATACATAATAATTAATATTATATGTTTTTTTCTATGAGGAGAACAATAAAGAGTTTTTATGTCATTTAATTATATACTTTTCTGTTGTTCTGAGCTATTTAACAATAATATTTAAAATATGTATAATAATTTGGTTCATTTAATTAACATTCTCAGCACGTGACCTTTGTAAATCCTTACCAATAGTAAAGATAGCTTAATAGTTAATATATAACTATTTAATAAAACTGAAATTAGTTTGTAGCACAACTATTTATGTATTTATAAAAATAACCTTTATGTAAAATATGAATTAAATGAAATTCTAAATACGTATTTGTTAGTTTATAAAAATTTGTCATAAGTCCTGTACTTATATAAAAGTACCAATGCCGAAACTAGACCGACACCGGAAATTCGATTGTACAACATTTATTTCTGGATACCCCCATTTTTGTAATCAATTTAAAACACATTGTTTATTTTATACTCATTTTTACGTATTCTAATGCTATTAACCGTAGCTGGCCTTTAAAGCCTCACCGTTATTTTTAGTAAGATGTGACCATTATAAATGTAGGGTTAGTAATTATGTATTTTCTCCTACAAACAGGTGGGATACACTTATAAAATATTATAAACGTCCAGATCTATTAAACTATATCTACTTAACGTACATATATCGTATATAATTAAATTTTGTTTAATGTAGATCAATTGCGTAAACAAACATATGAAGTGTATAAAATTAAAACATTCATAAAAAAATGCTCTCATAAAAACCTACTTTAGTGAATTGCTTTGTTCTTTTCTTACGAGATTAATCCTTAATTTGGAAAACCGATACAAAATAATCTAATAACTATTTTTGGTCTAATATATTTAAGCTTATCATGTAATTATTATATATATTTAGTTTAAGGTTCAATGTTCCTAAACAAAACCAATATTCGTAAGAACTAAAGTATGTTTCAATATATATGTTTTATAAATACAGTCAATATATTGGTGGTCCATTACGGAAGGAATAAAGATAATATATAATAATAAACTAATATGCAATTGCCCGTCCTAACGAAATTGACTAACTTAGTGACAACTAGATCCTTACTTCAGTTATAGAAACTGATTATTTATTAATCCATACTATTAAAAAAAATTATAGCATAGCGTCATGTACCAGGAACAAATATAGGAAATACAATTTCAGTTGTACTAGCCGCGTAGATAAGGAATTAAGGCAATGAAAGGAGGGGGGAGCGTGTAGGCGTCACCCTTATATTTGCATCTCTTTTCAGCACTCGTTTTGTCTTTGTCAGTAGAGTAAGCAAAAAAATAATGTACTCATTGAAAAATAAATAATAGAACTTACTGGTGCCTCATCTCTAAATTTTTAAAAGTCCCTCTTGCTACCCTTACGCATTACACGATATCTCAAGAAAACTATCTTTAATTCTATCCTGAATTAACCAATGGTCAAACAAGTATTTAAAGAGAGATGATCTGTATTTGTATCTCAGCGGCTAGTAAATAACACAAATAATCAACCGTTTGACTCTCCAAATACAAATAATGAGAAGACATTCACTAATTCGTTTACCTTAATGTAAATTATATATCACTACTCTCAGCCTTAATTCAGTTATGTCCGATTCCGACATCTTTCTCTTTTTGGTCACGAAAAAACTTTGACAGCCTCTGTTTTTGTATGTCGTTGTAGCTCTTGTTTGTGGTACGCACTTCGTCCAGTAGTTTTTGTACTGCTTTGTTGTTAGGTGATACTTTCTCCGCCATTTTTAAGTCTGACAGAGCTTTGTCGTAGTTCTTAAGTGCGAAATTAGCTTGCGCACGCCTGTATAAAGCTTTTTCGTTGTGCGTTTCTAATTCGAGCACCTGAAATAACAATACAAATATCTTTATTGTAGATCATAGGTTATGTATTGGCACGTGACACCCCTGGCGTTTCAGGTGTCCATAGGCTACGGTAACGATTTACAAACAGGTGGATTGTCACCATCATAGTATAAACAAAAATGTTAAATTATTACATAAATATATTCCATAGTATCTCTATGTCCTACTCAAAGAATATACAACAGGTCAGACTGTTAATAATAAATATATAACAATATAAGTAAAATAGTTAAAAATAAGCATAACTGTATTTATATTACTAATGATTATGTTTGTCATTAATATTATTATATTAAGATGTTACGAAAACACTTTGTACCCCTTTTTACAAATATTTCGCTGATGTATACTTTATATAGAGAAGGTGTGCAGACTGGTAATTTTTTTTTTAAACAAGCATAAAATATACATAAAATTAATAAAATAATATTACACACTCTACTAAGTACTTTACATACACACTTTTTTGTTTATTGTTAAAGTGTGTGGTCAAATTGAGAATGGATTAATATTGTTTCTAATAATAATATTAAAAACAAACAATATTCTAGTCTGTAGTCTTACTGAATATTGAATTAATTATGGTCGAATTGCGACCACTGCGCGACCACTAGTTATAGTAATTTATTATATTAGAGTGCATATCATATCAATACTATTATTGAATTATTAATGTAAATTTTGCAATGGAAATTAGAAATAATATTATTATACCATGTGCGCTGTAGCATGGTGAGGGTAACAGTATAATTAATGTTTCGTTTCATTCTTAAAAGTTGTGCGATTTACAAATTATGACTTAGTATTTCAGTACTGTACCACATTCGCAATATATTTAATAACTGTATTAACTTAAATGTAGCAATTGTTAAATGTAGAATTATTAAGTGTCATCCGCACCATGTTACAGCGCATACAGTATAGTTATTTATTATGTTAGAGTGCATAGTCAATACTATTATTGAATTGAAACACATCAATAATGTGAAGAATTTCATAATGTAAATTAAGATTAATATTCATATAATAAAACATACCTCATTGCAACTTTTAATGCAATTTCTGTAATTCGCTAACTTGATATAACAAGCAGCCAAATTGAGACGACACTGTTGTGTGGATGTTGTTATGATCTCAGAAACTGAAATTAAATTTATTTTATCAGAACTAAAATTAAAATTTCATTGTTTGTTACTAATGAAATATAGAAGTTTTCTATGTATATTAAAAAGAATGAACCTGTAATTTTCATGATCATGTACAAGCTCATTTGAAAAGATTAAAAGCAGAGTTTCTTGTCAATTCTTCTTAGCTCGAATGCACTCCGAACTGACGGTAGATTTGACATATCATAAAAGTCAGTATTAATATCTTTATTCATGTAGACAGGCCGTTTTTCCCCATTGGGCACACTGGGCACGTACCCATGGCCCCGCAATGGATTATGGCCCCCTAGTCTAGTCTGGTCATTACTCCATTACCAAACGATAACCGATAGCTACTCTACTCTGAAAAAATTCTGCCTGAAAATCAATCTTAACAAATTCTTACCGACTATCGTCAATTTGTTCGTTTTTGTTATTTTTTTGTAAATATCTATCAAGAACTTGAACCCCTCATCACATAACGACTTTTTAAAATTATTTTTCATAGGGGCCCCATACCCTAATATGCCCAGGGCCTCTCATAGGTGAAACACGGCCCCGCATATAGACTTACATGAATAAGATATTTTGATTTGATATGACTAGTACCCATAACACAAGCTCTGCATAGCTTGGGACACGACAGCGCTTTGTGAACTCTTCTGAATATTTTTATTATTAATCAAGTAGATATAAATACCCAACAATATACATAGCCTTAAAAAGTATAGGGATTGGAACTATATGACTAATCAAGACCACCTAAAAAGACAATAATTTTGCTGGGAATCACACTCCACCCATCTTTTACCACATCTGTTCATAATCTTCGACCGATTGCAGGATTGACACAGAAAAAAAAAGATATAGTAATATTACTAACAGTTGTCCTGCTGAGTGGTATGTTTAATCTTCTCTATTCGTTTACTAATAACTTGGAGATACCGCAAACACTTCTGATATCTTCTCGACGCTGCCTTGAACCGTTCCTCTCCAAACAGTGCATTACCGCTACATTTCACTTCTATAATACTGTTTATAAATTGTTCTATCTGAAACAATGAGTAATTTTTTTTTATAGGGAGAATTTGTACAAAGTTATTTGTGTGAGTACATCTCTCTCTCTTATAACTGTCGCCAGTTAGCCAGATTTATTAAAATTACAGTTATTTATATATTTATTATATTTATACCTCAGTACGGGCGGTAGCGCGCGAATATTGTCGTCTCACTCACTCCATACAAAATTCGCGTTAGATAGTATACCAACCACATACTTTTAGGCATATAATTTGTAAATTATACCAAAAAGGAGTCAACAAATACGACTAAGATAGTAGTACAAAAATCTTCTTATTTACGATGGTCGCGAGTTCGATTCGTCGTACAGTATAAATATTAGTATTCGTCAGTAGGACTATTAGTATTGTTCTATGTTTTCCTGTGTATATTATGTATTTAAAAAAATACACATTTAAGTATTTGTATCAGTTGTCTAGTATATAACGCAGTTATGCTTGAGCCTAGACAGCACTGTCTGAAATGTCTTGGGTTATTATTATTATTACATATACTAAGCCACTATACAGTAATGAAAAATATTAAATAGCGCACAGTGAGCTGTTCCGCTTGCGGGTAATCTTCGGGATACTCTGGCAGATGGCCAGGACCAAGCTCGCCCCCGCCGGGGTCTCCGGGGGCCAATTCGCCACACTCCAGCACTACACATTCCTGAAATAAAAAAATAAGTGGACTTTAAAATCCGACAACAGGGTATAGTAATATATCGTCCAGTGAAGCTTGTAAAGGTCAGTTGCGACCAACCCTTACTACCTTACATATTAGTAAAATAAATGAATGTGAAATATATGTGAAAGTAACTCTGTCTGTCTCGCTTTCACGCCAATACTACTGAACCGATTTAAATGAAATTTGGTACACAGTCTAGGTCCTGAGAAAGAACATAGGATACTTTTTAATGTGAATAAAGGGTTGTAAGGGGTTGTAAGGAGTTGAAAGGGGAGATAAAAGGTTCAATGGAAGTATCGTCATTTTTAAAACTAGAATCTTGAAACTTATTCTTTAAGCTGTTCATTAAATATAAATAAATATGACTAAGTTTGTAAAATTGTTATACTTATGGGGGTAAAAATAGGGAAAGTTTGTATAGAAAATAATCATTTTCAAAGCTATAACCAGGAATCTTTTGTCTTGGCTTTTTTGGTTTAAATTATTCAATATTTTTTCAAGGTAGCTATAACACGCGGACGAAGTAGCGGGCACGGCAAGTATAGTATATTCGGTTTCTCTTTAAATACCAACATATACCAAAATTAGATAGACAGATAGGATTTTTTATTTGTGTCTTAGTACACACATATAGGTTTAATTATCCTAGACCTATTAGCGTAGAATAAGACATAAATAATATACAATAAATAATTAATTTCAGTGACAGTTTTCTTTTATCACATAAAAAATGTAAGTATAGAAAATATTACACACCACTTGCGGTCTGCCATTGTCGTCACCGTACTGCTGCATCTCCAGCACGAGACCGAGCCCAGTGAGCACTCTTCCGAACACCACGTTGGTGCCGTCCAGATGCGGGCACGGGACTGTTGTTATGCAAAACTGCGAGCCGTTGGTGTGGACACGCCCTTTGTTAGCCATACTGAGAACGCCTGCGTCATGCTGTATACAAAAGTTACTATACTGACGCCGATATAAAAGTCTTGTTTTCACAGTGAAGACTTGATTAATAGATATCATAAGGCAATCAGAAAATTCAATAATTCGTTTCATTTGGTTTAAGATAATCTATACATCTATACATATAAATAAAATTAGACTGTCTGTTAATAGTATATAATAGTAATATTGAAATAACTGTTTTTTACTACATGCATATGAATATAAATACGGTACATACACCAAAATAACATTTTTCACAATTTTGTCTGACGGTCTGTTTGTTCTGGCTAATCTCTGACATGGCTGGACCGATTTTGACGGGATTTTTTTTGGCAGGTAGCTGATGCAATAAGGAGTAACTTAGGCTACTTTTATTTTAGAAAAATTTAAATTTGGAAAAATATAGTTAAATTCCATGCGGACGAAGTCGCGGAAACAGTAGTTTAACATAAGAATGAGCATGCTTTCCCGTTACTCTTTTAAATAAATGCTGTTCAGAATTTAATTTTTAAGAATTGTGTGGAATACAAACTTACAAATAACATAGTTGATATAAATAAATGAATATTTACTTGAGGAACAAAATAAATCAGTTATAGTTCTCAGAACAGACCAAGAACAAGTCAACATACCTATAATTTACCAGGTTTGAATGTGAAAATAGAATAATGAATTTATTTGATCTCAAACTAAAATATTTTTAAGTTTTAAAGATAACAGTTTGCACCACTCTACTATCATACAACTACACTAATGACCAATAGTATAAATTTTACTGTAATAATAAATAATAGTAATAATAATTCTTTTATTGGAACTAAAAAAAAATATAATATTTTACAAAGTAGGGTAGTGTAACGGTAATAAATTACCTTTAGAATAAAATTTTCATCTTCAAATGTTGGTCCATAGATACTCTCACCACTTGTACCATCCCCATTCACTATATCACCACCCTGCACCATAAACTGAGTCACAACTGAAAATAATCATAATAAATGTTGTTTAACATACATTCAGCCTTATAATAAGCCTTATAAACACTACACTAATAATGTAAATGATAGGTGAAGATGAAAGTTCATTATGAAAAAAATAAATATACAATACATAATAAAAAGAATAAAATAAAAAAAATTTTTCTTCAGATATTACACATCTGAAGAAAATTTTTTTATATCATATAAGCAAATTATAAATAAGTAGATTATAAACTACTAGGATTATTCCAGGTGTAAGTTTTTTATTTATAATTTCTGAAGATTTCTCACAAACCATACTCTAATGCACACAAAATTTTAAGATGTAATCTTCTTGGATTAAAAACTTTAAAAATTATATTATGATTAGGAATCCTTAATAGTTTATGTAATAGTGATGAAGCTTTAAGTTTCATCACAATTAACAATACTAAGTACTGTAAAACCAATTAACTTCATTGTTATAAAAATAAATAGTATAGTAATATACAGTAGATAAACTTAAAAGGTTACCTTTGTGAAATGTAGCTCCTTTGAAATGCAGAGGCTTCTTATAAACACCGAGACCCTTCTCCCCAGTACATAGTGCCCGAAAATTCTCAGCTGTTTTTGGTACCACATCCTTTCTCAGTTCTATTGTAATGCGGCCAGCTATGATAAAAGATAAGTATTATGAAAACTGTACATTTAAACTTACTAGGTACTCCTCTGAATATTCTTTACCTGATCCAGAAGTCTTTTTGTATAGTACATAATATATGCTTTTTGTATAGCATTCACACAAAAGTTAAAAATTCTTTAAGGAATATTATATTAGATAGACAGAGACAGCTCTTGGATAGCAACAACAAATCTTGACATAAAATATGATTTTTTTGTGTAGATACACATGCATTGCATGCATGTCACATGTACATATATCTGTATGGATATTATTATTATTTATGTATTAATTTGTTGAATTTTTATTTCATTATTAAAGAATACAACCAAGTTGAGATCAGAAACCAAACTGTTTATTTCACATTTACCCTCAATATACTTAATTATAAATTGACCTTCTATTAACATAATCAATACATAACATACCTTTCTCTCCTAATGATTGGCTAGCAATATGACTACTATTAGAATATTTATTGAATACGAATAATACTTAATTAATTAATTATCTAGGTAATCTCAATCATAATTTAGATGATAGAAATACATATCAAATCAGTTATTAGATTTTGTAAATTTGACAATAACAATCATTCATTAACACTCATTGGGTATCCCTATAATTTCTGGCCATAATTCAGGAGGTGGAATGACTATGGATGGATCCTGTGATAGTTTAGAGTCAGACTCCTTCATGAGGTGACTGTCTAACTCGGAAAGTGCTCTTGTAGTTGCACTTGCTGGTCTTGCTAGAATTTGGTCTGTATGACGGCGATGCAACTCTCCATCTTCCGTTCTCACCCTGTAAGTTGCAGGTCCTTCCACTATCTCCACAGTGGCTCTGTGCCATTTGTCTCCTGGGCCATACATATGTATCAGTACTGGTTGGTTCACTGTAAAGTTCCGGGCAGGTGGATGGAGTGCTGCCGCTTCACGCTGATGCTCACTACGACTCATAATCGAGTCGGGATGTAGGGCTGAAACTGCAGTTCTATATCTCCGCCCATTGAGTATTTCGGCTGGTGTTTTGTTGGTGGAACTATTAGGAACTGTTCGTAAATAATATAAAACTTTACAGAGCTTTTCTTGCCATGGCCAATTTTGGCATTCCAGTTTTTTCATTTTATTTTTAAAAGTTTGGATAGCCCGTTCTATCTGCCCATTTGTTTCAGGGTGATATGGTGGTGAATACAAATGTCTAATTCCATTATTTTTCAAAAAAATATTGAACTCCTCAGATGTAAAGGCGCGTCCATTATCAGAAACTAATACATCGGGAAGACCTTGCGACGTAAAGATTTTTCTAACAACATTTATCACCGTACCACTATTCATTGAAGGCACTATTTCAGCTTCAAACCATTTACTGTAGCTATCTACTAGGACTAAAAATGTTTTCCCCTGGAAGGGTCCTGCGAAATCAACATGTACTCGACTCCAAGGCTTTTCCGAGACAATCCAAGATTGTGGGTCTTTTGGTGGCTTATTTCGTACCAGTTGACATTGTTGACATGAGGCTACAACGTTCTCAATCTGACGGTCCATATCCTTCCACCACACGTACCCTCTTGCATATGCTTTGGTTTGAACCATGCCTGCGTGTGGTGCATGCAACAATTTTAACACCTTCTCCTGTAAGGATGTCGGTATTATTACTCTATTACACCATAATAAACAATCTTTATTATGCGAAAGAGCTTCTCTCCTTGTCCAATACGCTTGTAACCTCAAATCTGTGTTTTTGCGCGGCCAACCATGCAACACATAGAACATTACTTTTTGCAGAACCACATCTTTTTTGGTCTCCTCAGCAATTTTACAAGCATCCAGTTGCCACTCGCTCAATTGTTCTTCCATCAACAACATATCTCTGGTCTCTTCTGTCTTTATGCATGATGTATTCGGAGCAGTCCATCTGCTTAAAGCATCCGCATTTCCAATTAATTTACCTGGTCTGTACTTTATTTTGTAATCATAACATGCTAGTTTTAGTGACCAGCGTAGCATTCTAGGTGAAATTTGCTCCGGTATAGGTTTTTCTGGATTGAATAGACCAACTAATGGCTTATGATCCGTCACTATAATGAATTTACGACCTGATAAGAACTCATGGAATTTAGTCAATCCAAATATAATTGCCAAAGCCTCTTTATCGATCTGACCGTACCGCCTCTCATGGGCTTGTAATGTTCTTGAGGCCATCATCACCGGTCTTTCTGATCCATCCTGCATAACATGCGCAATAATTGCTCCTAGTCCATACTCCGAGGAATCACATATGAGAATTAGTTCTTTCTGCAAATCATATCCCACCAGCGTGAGATCCGAAGACAGTAAGCGTTTAGCTTCCAAAAAGGCTTTATGTTCTCCATCACCCCAGCTCCATGTCCTTTTAGATTCTAAAAGTCTATGCAATGGCTCTAATATGGTGCTCTTACCAGGCAAAAATTTCTCATAGAAATTGTATAAACCCAGAAAAGCTCGCAGGGTTTCTCTGTTCGTTGGAGCTGGTTTCTCTTGAATTTCTTTAACCTTCGCAGGTGACGGGTGGAGCCCGTCCACATCTAACATGTGGCCTAAGAATGTAATGCTATTCGCTGCAAACACACACTTTTTGACATTCAGACGCAGTCCCATTTCTTCCAGTTTACATAAGACCTTCTTAAGTCTCTGGTTGTGTTCTTCGACGGTGGTGCCAGTTACGGCTACATCGTCTAACAGGCATGCTACTCCCTCCATACCTGCAAGCGCAGTTGACATAAGCCGTTGAAAAATAGCTGGCGCTGCGCTTACGCCGAACGGTAAGCGATTCATCTTCATTAGACCAATCGGAGTATTAAGTGTTAGCAGCATAGCTGTCGCATCATCTACTTTAAGCTGTGTGTACGCTTGCTTTAAGTCCAGTTTGCTAAATATCCTGCCCCCACTCAATTTCACAAATGCTTCATTCGACTTTGGCAATGGGTATGTATCTGTATCTATCGCGCCGTTTACCGTCACTCGATAGTCACCACACATTCGTATTGTTCCATCTTCCTTCATGACTGGTGTCAGTGGCGTGGCCCATTCCGAATATCGTACAGGTGTTAGTATGCCTGCAGTGACCATCTTGTTTAATTCCTCTATTACCTTCTGCTTGAGTGGGTAAGGCACCGGGCGGGCCTTTAAGAAACGAGGGATGGCATCTTGTCGTAAATGTAACGAAACTTTAGGACCCTTGTACTCTCCCAGACCTTCTTTAAATAACTTAGGATATTCTCTTTTATACTGTTCTATATCCTCTTCAGACCAGCACAGTCCAGAAACTTGGAGGCCTAGTGTTTGAAACCAATTTCTACCCAACAGGTTCGGCCCATTTCCTGATACTACTACAAGTTCACACTGTGCTTCCTTATTCGCTAATATAATTCGTACATTAGCTACTCCCAAAACTTTTATAGGATCTCTAGTCCATGTTACCAGCTTCAATGTAGTGGGTCTTAAAGGTGGGGGTGTCGACCATAGCTTTCTATATGTCTCTTCCGACATAATAGACCGAGAGGCTCCCGAGTCCACTTCCATTGATAATTGCACTCCGTCTATAATAACATCGGTAGTTATAGGAGGTGTGTAATTATCTGTACAGACATAAATCCCCATCATCTTCTCTGCCGACACGTCGTCACTTCCACTACATTCTCCACCCTCGTCAACTAGGTGTGTGCGTCTTGGCCTCTTATCGCATGCTGCTGCAATATGCCCGAATTTCTTACAATAGAAGCATTTTGCTTTCCAGAACGGACAGCGTTCGCCTGGCTTATGACCACGTGTACACCGTCGACATTCATTGGATCTCACAATACCAATATCCATAGGTTCGGTTTCGGTAACATTTGGTGGAGTTTGGTTTGACGCACTAGCTGCATACGCAGGGTACAAATCAGGGAATGTCGCTTGATAATCCAGACAAGTCTGTAGTGCGACTTCGTATGTTAAATCCTTCTTCTTTAATAAATCGCGCCGTAAGCGATCATCCCGCACCCCCAGCACTAGTCGGTCCCTCAACTGGCGTTCCAGGTCTACAAAATTGCACTTTGCACCTAGTCGGCTCATAGCCGCTACATAGTCCTGTACACTTTCTCCTTGCAACTGTTGTCGTTTATGAAATTTTCCCGCCTGTAGTATTTCATTAACTTCTGGTTCAAAAAACTTATCCAAAACATTGAAAATATGCGCTAACGATACTTCAGTCGGCCGTTTAGGAACTAAAAGAGATGCGATTAACGCAAAAGTGTCTTTTCCACACTGAGAAAGGAACAGCGATCGTCCCCTATTAAGGTTATCTTCACTGACGCCCGCCGCGTCTAGCGCACACATTAATTGCTCCTTGTAATCACACCACTTATCAGTTTTTGGGTTAAATTGTCCGGGAAACACAATATTCGACACAGTTGCTGCCATTTTCACGTTAAATAATTTTAATTTATCTCGTCGCCAATAAAGAATACAACCAAGTTGAGATCAGAAACCAAACTGTTTATTTCACATTTACCCTCAATATACATAATTGTAAATTGACCTTCTATTAACATAATCAATACATAACAATTATGTTGTGGTATGGTTATCTACCACATGTGATTAGGTACACCTGCATAGGTACAAACTGAAAACCAGCGCTGGACACCCATCAGTCCAGCAATAGCTGAGTTTGTACCTATTGCCAATCATATTAAATATGTATAAATGTGTAACTATGCAACTATACTGATATTGGCAATAAATGGATTTATTATTATTATTATTAGTAGTAATAAGGGTAAATTATTCATCAGGTGCAGGAAGGAACAACTGTTAGTAATATTGCCTAATTACCCCAACACTAGCAATGTACCATATCAGGTTGACCATCATTTGGTCCTCTTATAAATTTGTCACTACAAGCACACTGTAATACTCATCCTATTATACTCCACAGAAAGATACATCATTAAATCAGAAATTAAATTACTAATACCAGGGACTGTATACCCAGTGAGGAGCATGGGGGAACAGCTGCCACTCCCTAAAAATTGTTTGTTACAATAAATTATGAAAGGAGGAATGGTATTCTCAGTAATGTGGTCTAATAACACAATTGCTATAAGTGTATCATATAAGGGTTAATCCTCATGCAGTTCCCCCTGGAAAACATCAAAAACTGGGTAAAACTATACCCTTGAGTATCAACTGATACCAAATTTGTAGAGGACATTATATGCTTACTTTGTATATGAAAATACAGTAACTCAAATATTTTTGAAAAATCGACTTTAAAATTATATAGGTATATAAAGTGAAATTTACATTTTTTTTTACTTCATTAATAAGCATGGTTTGTTTTGGTGTATTTATATTTTGGTAAATCAAGTGTACAGTTATCAATGTACATTAATGAATGTTACCTTTTTCTCCGTCTATTGCTATATCCAAGAACACGAGAGGATTCCTTTGTTGTCCCTCCGATGCTGGTATCATGGTGATCATTTACACGAAAATTAACTAGGCTCGCTTCATTATAAATAGAAAAAACTAAATAATAGAATACTACTATATTTAGAGCCGACAATTTGATTATCCATAATAATTTAATCTGCTTAAAATATCCAAGCAAATACAAAACATATTAGCTAGGTTAGACAAATCGTATTCGTGTCGAATGCCGTTAGCAGTAAATAAAAAGGTAAGCAAAAATAATCAATCAAGTCAATAAGTCATATTATTCACATCACTATATCATATATGATCCATCACTATATACTGTAATTAGTTTCCCTATTAAGAAAACAATAAAAGTCATGAAACACTTCAAATCAAATTTCAGTATCCCAAATAAATAAGCAACTCAGCCTCAAATGCCTAATAATATTGACATGAATGACAAGGGAAATATGCTAGGTTTGACAGATTTGTCACTTTTAATGTTGGTAGTGATGAACGACTGTAGGGGCTTAGACTCTTTGCGTTTCCTGTAAGAATAAATAAAAAAAATATATATATATAATGATGACCTAGGGGCCGTGGCCTAGGGGTGAACCTTTTTTGTCCCGGGATTAACTTAAGGGGTAACTACCCCAGGTGGTCAAGATGAATAGCCTGTTGATTGGCAAGAATTATACATAGTAATAATAAGGGAACTACAGAGTAATAGAGTTAATATAAGTAAATGATTAGAATTAAGCAATCTGTACTTATGCTAACTTAAAATCTCGTGCTGTATTTTGAGAAAGTGTAATTTTTTTTATATTTTGTGAAAATTGTGTAATAGAAAACACGCCTCCGCACCCATACATTCTACACCTTATTCTCTCACCTCAACGTCATGACATAAGTCATCACCTCAATGTTGCCTACTTAACTCCATATTGGACAATGTAGTTCTTTTCATGCTTATTCAGACTCCAAACGTAATAATGTTGTTTTATTATATTACGAGGTAAAAGTAGCTATCTTAAAATTTATGTCTGTCAATTTTTTTACTGAATTAAATACAATAAAAAGATTGCCTTTGCGAGATTCGAATATGTAAATAGTCAAAAGGATGGAAAAGGAAAAAGAAAAAGGTTTTTAAACGATTACAATATACCAAGTTTTTAATTTTTAATTATTAAGTTATTAAATTAGTGCCAATATGAACCTATATTAATTGGATTATTTAATTAGATATAAAGCGGCTCTCTATATTTATCGTCTTAGCCCAAAAAAATATATGGAGTTGCCAACACTGGTCATTGCATTCGTAATTTAGCAAAATGTCATAATTTATTTTAATTATTATCTTTTCAATATTTCTTAATGTCGTATTAAAATATTAATGTAAGTACTATTTTCTTAGCAGAAGATTTAAATATTTACACAATAAACAGTAGTAGGTTATATTGGTTCTCGTAGGCATTAAAAACAGGTTTTGGTATCAACCTGTTTCACATTAGTTAGTTATATTTACTCAGTTTTCTAACAACTACATATTTTTTCAGATTCAATATGTCTTGCTCTGCTTTGTATATACTGGATGTAAAGGGCAAAGTCCTTATATCCAGAAATTATCGCGGCGATGTCGACATGGCTGTGATTGATAAGTTCATGCCTTTTCTCATGGAGAAAGAAGAGGAAGGTATGCTAACTCCTCTCTTACAGACCGGCGAGTGCACATTCGCTTATATCAAAACAAACAACCTGTATATTGTATCGACTACAAAGAAAAATGCTAATATTGCATTGGTATTTGTGTTTTTGTACAAAATTGTTGAAGTTATGTCAGAATACTTCAAAGAGATAGAAGAAGAGAGTATCCGAGACAATTTCGTTGTTATATACGAATTACTGGATGAATTGATTGATTTTGGATATCCACAAACTACAGACAGCAAGATTCTCCAGGAATATATCACACAGGAGGGGCATAAGCTAGAAATGCAGCCCCGTATACCTATGGCCGTTACTAATGCTGTCTCCTGGAGGTCTGAAGGCATTAAATATAGGAAAAATGAAGTATTCTTAGATGTTATTGAGTCAGTCAATTTATTAGCTAATTCTAACGGCAATGTACTTAGAAGTGAGATTGTTGGTGCAATCAAAATGAGGGTCTACCTATCCGGTATGCCAGAATTACGTCTCGGTTTAAATGATAAGGTTCTCTTTGAAAGCACCGGAAGGGGAAAGTCTAAATCAGTAGAGCTTGAAGATGTGAAGTTTCACCAATGCGTCAGACTGTCACGTTTTGAGAATGATAGAACTATATCATTTATTCCTCCTGATGGAGAGTTTGAACTTATGTCATACAGATTGAACACCCATGTAAAACCCCTGATTTGGATTGAGTCGGTTATTGAGCGCCATGCACATTCAAGAGTTGAGTATATGATCAAGGCAAAATCACAATTTAAAAGACGTTCCACTGCTAACAATGTTGAAATAATTATACCTGTACCTGCTGATGCGGACTCTCCGAAGTTTAAGACTACTATTGGCAGTGTCAAGTATACACCTGAACAGAATGCAATAACTTGGTCTATTAAGTCGTTCCCAGGTGGTAAGGAATATTTGATGAGAGCTCATTTTGGATTGCCTTCTGTTGAATGTGAAGAGGTAGATGGAAAACCACCAATTCAAGTGAAATTTGAGATTCCATATTTCACTACATCCGGGATTCAAGTTAGATATCTCAAGATTATAGAAAAGAGTGGATACCAGGCCTTGCCATGGGTACGCTACATTACTCAGAATGGAGACTATCAGCTGCGAACTAATTGAATGATATACATATATATTTATTACATTCCTTTTTACTTTCAAGTGCACTATGTTTTAATTAGGTATTGTTTGCAAAACTGTTAAGTCTGTTGTAGTTGTTAAGTGATCAATTTATTGGATGAAGTATTATAATTATTATGTATATTTGACACAATAATAAATTAATATTACACAATCATGTTTTTATTTAATTCCTTAGAAACTGAATAGTAGAAACTGTATTTTATTTACATTTTGTTAGTAGCACGAATATGTAACATTCCTTTATCTGTGGCATGAATGAGATTTGCTAGATAACATCAGTCATCAAATGCAGATTATAATGTTTGTATTTATTTAATGACTAACTGCTTGGTTTTGCCGTAGAACAAATCGAGTACCATTTACATGAAATTATACTTTTTGTTTTAAATAGAGAATCCTTTCTTGCATTTATTTTTCTAGAAAGAATTTAAAAAATCGTGTTAGCTAAACAGTATATTTATTTGTAGTCAACTGATACCAGGAATGTATTTTTTTACAGTGTATGAAATATAATGTAATAGAAATTGTTTGTGGATAAATTTACTTTTCTACATACATTGAAGATTAGGCTGTATGACTTCTGTCCTTAACCTGTCAATGGCAATAAAATAAATCAAATCAAAATAATGAACAGCGCGAAATTTTGTTTTGTAGAAAATAAATTAAAGAAACCTTTATTTAAAAGTTTAATAGAATGTCGTAGATGTTGTTACATGCTTCCTACAAGCGAAGTAAAGATTATAAAGAAGAATAAAGCAAATATTACGGATAACCTCAAAACTAAGAAAGTTTCAGAAACCAAGAATGAAACATCTTCGACAGAATTTAGAGTTAATGATGTAAATATTCAAATGATATCCAAAAATATTTACGAACAGTTATTTAAAAATCCAGTCTCCACTATTGACCCAATGACAATAAAAAGGTAGCTATTTGTTATTGTTATAATTTGAAAGAACTGTTATGATTTATAATAGAGAGGTACACAAAATTAATTAAAATTTTTATAATAAATTTCGCAGTTGCCAAGACAGTCTTTTGAAACACGGAATTAATTACAAAGAACAGGAATATTTACCAGATGTAACTGTTAAATTGCCTAAACTAGAAGGAAAAGATGTTGTGGAACATTTTTACAATATAGGGGAAAGGCAAAGTGCCCCATACAGAATCTTACTTCAAAAGTTGGCAACTAGTAAACTACCTCCATTACCAAAGGTATGTATTAAAAACTTATAGTTTACACCATTCACACATAATAATGAATTAAATTAATCCATAATATGCCCAATAGACAAGAGCAGCAATCTCAGTAGTACCTGAATCTGCAGGAGTTGAGATGAAAGGACTTTGTTTACTATATATATATCAATATTTGATGATATGATAATAAATGTGATTAAGAATTGTTTGTAAGAATAGAAGCCAATGACAGTAGGTCCTCTCTGCCTACCCCAGATGGACATTATAAAAATGTACTGTTTTACTTATGGAAATTTAATGTTTAATAGTATACATAATGTAATGGCATCCTATACTGACTTTCTATTATTATTATGAGTAACATTAATTGGTATGTTATTCTTAGTTATTTATTATTGTTGATCTGTCTCTGTCCCAAAATACATCATAATAGGTTTAGGAAAAGTAACAGAGACAGGTATTTCCTTTATTTATATTTTAAATACTAATAATAATTTTATGCACTACACACTAATGTATGCATATCATAGACTAACTATACTAGTGTTATATATTCTAAATTTTGTTCATAGAAATGGTCAAAAAGCTCAGGTTGGTGTAAGTACAATGGTAACACAGCAGAACCTGTACCCTGCCCGCCTGATGATGCCCTCGTCTTTGATGTAGAAGTTCTTATGACATCTGGAAATAGGCCCACTTTAGCATGCGCTGTTTCAAGTGAAGCATGGTAAATTGTTGTCAACTTATCTATATATATTTTTTAAAAGGATGATAATGGAATGATGCACCCGTCTGTGCTAACAATTTATGCTGGTGGGGCAACAGAGAGAATGATAAGATGAGCATGAGTTAGGGTCAGTTAGCCCATCATGATAAAATTAACAGGAATTTGTCATGATGGGAACCACATCGGGAGGTCAACCTAACATGGTATATTGCTAGCAATGGGGTTATTCGTCCACATTACTAATAATGCCCTTCCCCCCAATCTAATCATGTAAAACAACAGAGTACCATATAAATAATGTTATAAAAATACCTTGGGAACTAATTGTGGTTGTTCCTGATGGCGCAATATATGATTTTGCTGGTATTATCCACATCCCTGTGGGTATTAATTGTGGGTGTACCTGATAGTGTAACATGTGGTTGTGCTGGTATTATCTGCGTCCCTGTGGGTATTAATTGTGGTTGTACCTGATAGAGCAATATATGGTTGTGCTGGTGGTATCCACGTCCCTGTTATAATTATATTGTATAAATTATATATAAAAAAAATTACAGGTATGGTTGGGTCAGTGAACCTGTAGCAAATGGGGAACCACATCAGCAATACGACAATTTAAATTACGAATATCTGATACCTTTAGAAACTGATGGAATGAAACCCTGCGGTGACCTGAACAGACCTAGAATAGTTATTGGACATAATGTCTCATTTGACAGAGCAAAAATTAAGGAGCAATATTGGTTGAATAAAACAGGTATCTATCCATAAAAAAACAGTAATGAAGTGCCTTAAAATCCATATTAATTTTTTAATATAATTTTTTTTTTAATAACCTCAGGACAATTCACACATAAAAAAAAATTCTATGTACTTGATTCTAGATGGCGCATCTAGACCCAAGTTAAGCTTTAGGTAGCAAAGCTTGTGTTATGGGTACTAGATAATTGATACAAAAAAGAACATAGATTTTTTTTTTTCGTAAATATATACATATTATATATAGCAAACACCCAGACTGATACAAACAACCATACTCATGAATACAAATGTTTGTGCCGTGCGAGTAATTGAACCCGCGACCATCGGTCGTAATGCGGTGTGCTAGACCGCTAGACCACCGAGGTCGTCAAATTTATTATTATTTTATTTTTATTTATAATTAAATAATTTTAAAATGTTCCTATACCTATTCACTTTGAAAGATTCATTCAGGGAATCTTAATGAATTTCAATTTGGAGATAGATTGTATCCTAAGAATGGACAAAGCTATTTTTATTCCAAAAAAGCTATGGAAGTGGTGGGTAAAAGGTTTGGCTAATGACTTCAGTTGAAAACCTGACAGGAAAATGATACACACTGGTACATTATATTTGTTATTCTTTTTAAGTCATATTATAAAAGTAGCATATTTGATCAAAATCGGTAGAGAAGTACGCTAATTACATTTCACCTCTCCATTGTATGGTATTGTATGGTAATGGTACATGTATTATTTTTTAATTGGATTTTTAAACAGTTATTGATCAGCACATAGTTAAAACTTTTTTTGGGAACATAAACTAACCAGAATAGATTATTGATGCAGGTCTACGCTTTATGGATACTATGTCTATGCACACTTGTGTAAGTGGAGTCACCAGCTACCAGCGGACAGTGTTAAAAGCTAAGAATAAAGAACCACACCCCAGTGATGACGATTGGAAAGAGATCAGCTCCCTCAATAATCTTAGTGAGGTAATTGACAATATTAATTATAGAATAAGATACGCCATTCTCTGGATGTTCTAACATTTCGTAGTTGCGGAGGATGGTCTGTTAGTAACCAACTCCATCATTAAAAGCAACGTTAGCATTCTGCAAAGCAAAATGAAATGTTAAAAAAAACCATACAAACTGTACTTTCATTTTAATCAACTGCCTTGTAGGTTTTCAATATACTATTATAGTAGGTAGTGTATTGTAGTTGTTCCGTGTGAATCAAATTTGATTCAAATTCATTTAGAACTTCAAATTTGCTTATCATAAACAAAATCTTTGAAAATAATCATTAACCATATTAATAAGATTAATAATAATTGTCTATAGGTCCATCAATTATACTGCGGAAGTCTCATAGACAAACAAACTCGTGACGTATTTATGGAGGGCAGCATGCAAGATGTACACGATAACTTTCAAGAGCTGATGGCGTACTGCGCTCGTGACGTTACAGCCACACACGATGTGCTCAGAGAACTGCTGCCAATGTTTCTAGAACGGTTCCCACACCCTGTCACCTTGGCTGGCATGTTGGAGCTTGGTAAGCTGTTTTTATGTATATCAAGAAATATCTGGTCCTTCGAACCGGATGGTTTTAGTAAATGTATATAATAGTCATATATTTCCTCATTTAACAATAAAAATAATAAATGCTAGAATTCGTTTAAATATGAAAATGTTTATTGCTGTAGGAATTTTTAATACCGTATATTGTATAGTATGAATAACACCAATAGAAATTTTTGATATATGTTATGTTTTCCTGTTAAATACTATGATTTGGTTATAGGTTCAGCATATTTGCCAGTAAATTCAAATTGGTTACAATATATAGATTCAGCAGAAACTGTTTTTGAAGATTTAAAATTAGAGTCTAGACAATTACTGTCTCGTAAAGCAGATGAAACTTGTCAGCTAATGGAAAATGAGGCTTACAAGAAAGATCTTTGGATGTGGGATCAAGACTGGTCCACACAAAAACTTAATTTAAAAAAAGGTTCTAAAAAGAAAACAGATTCAATATCTACTACATCTAAAATAGAACTGCCCAGTAAAAGTAAAGATTTACAAAATAAAGAATTCGAACTTTTAAATCAGGAATACATAGAGTCTTTAGATGAAATGCCAGAATTAAAAGTAAAAGATCTGGAAGAATTAAGCAAAAAGTTTGCATATTTGTATGAAATGGAGTCGTTATTGCCAGTAAAAAGGCCGTACCTGGCAGGGTACCCGGCGTGGTACAGGAAATTGTGCAGCAAGCCAGGTACTCCAGGGTGGACGCCAGGCGCTCATAATATCACCACTAGTATGCAGGTAATGTAATGAAAAATAAATATATTATTGTCCAGACATGATCATTTTGACGCCCTCGGTGGTGTAGCGGTTTAGCACACCGCTGTACTTCCGATGGTCGCGCTTTCCCTCGCACGGTGCAAACATTTATATTCATGAGTATGTTTGTTTCTATCGGTCTTGGTATTTTCTATGTATATGCATGTATTTGAAACAATATGTAACTAAGTATTTATATCAGTTGCCTAGTACAAAGCTCTGCTTACCGTGGGACTAGATGGCGCTGTATTATTTTAATTTCAGCAATTGACTATTTATTGCTTTCTTTTATGACGTGGGATAGTGGTTTGCACTGCTAATATGTTTGAAAAATTTATATTTGCACATTAATTAGTATTAACTTTTTGGCATTCATAGGGATCTGGTACATATCCGGGTCCAGAATGTTAAGTGAGATAGTGGTTTCCTCTGCAAATATGTCTAAAAGTTTTATATTCGCAGATTAGACATTTAGATTGATCTGGTACATATCTGGATCCAAAATGTTAAGCAGATGCAATTCATTAATAGATATAATCACAGATCTTCTTTGAGTCAGAGTCTTTTTGATAAAACCGAAATAAAAAACTTCTATATGTGAATGCTCTACCGCTACGGCACAATGCTCTCAATTTTATTAGTTTTGACTCTTTTTCGTTTTTTACAGATCACTCCCAAACTCCTTCGACTTTCATGGGAAGGCTATCCCCTCCACTATATTAAGTCTGAAGGGTGGGGGTTCTTAGTACCATTCAGCAGGACTCATGGCGAGATCGAAGATGAAACACCGCTTCCTCTTGATGAGTTACTAGCCGCATGTCCTATGGCGTTCTGTAAGGAAAATGACATTGAGACCGACGTACAAAGACTACCAAAAACTGTTGAAGTATGTATATCGCTCATTATTCTCCCCACCGATGGATATGACTGCCTGAGTCAAGGTTTGACTCTCTAGCCACCACTAGGAGTTTAAACCTTGGTTCAGGACGTCGGACTAATATCATATCCGTCAGAAGTTTGGTTAAGCCGCTCCATAAGTTCTTCCGCGAGTTTGAATTGCCTTCTCCACTCATTCCCATATCTTTCGGCGAAGCTGAAAAGGGCAGCTGCATCCAACAGCATTTAGATTAGTCAAAAAAAGTTTATATTTAATCTAGGTTAAAATGAAGTTCTAAAAACTAAATATAAATACACTGCCAGTACAAGAGCAGCAATGTAATTATAAGTATGTATTATGGACTAGTGTGTATGAAAAGGACACATCAAACGGGTTTCTTGCCCATTCTTACTAGAATCTGCAATTCGAATGCGACATAGAAAGATTTTTATATATTTTGGATTACTTCTATTGTGGCTTGTAATGATAGGAACAAATGATATTTCAGGAAGACTTGGGCAGACGCGCTTACTATGCTAGAAAGAGAGCGGACGAGCAAGCGGCCGCTAACCAATACCATGGGCTGGGATTGTGGTGTGGCATACAGTTGCAAGGATGCTGTCACTTTCTGAGGTTGCCACATAAAGATGGACCCAAGTATAAAGTTGGTAATCCACTAGCGAGGGATTTCTTGGAAATGTTCAGTCAGAATGTGCTCACCGCGCAAGGAAATGACGCTGCAAAGGTAAATTGTATATATATATTTGCTTGTATTTACCACATGCGTCACATGATGAATTGGGGTCATAGATAGAATTATTCAAAAGGAAGGTTTATATGTATAATATATGCGTGTTTATGGTATAGAACATTTCTAGGTGTTGACATTTGGGCGCATGATGTCGTACTGGCGCAACAACCGGGAGCGAATCATGGGGCAACAGGTGGTATGGTTGCCACCAGAACTACGACCACCGTCCGCCCCTGACCAACTCTACGGCGCCATCCTGCCGCAGGTGGTGGTCGCCGGTACGCTTACCCGACGGTAACTGTGACTCTTTAACTCTATCTATACCTGGAATGGCGAACAAATTGATGGCACATATTTTGATGTAAGATAATGGAATGGTGCACTTGCCAGCTCTAACGATTTACGCTGGCATGGTAACAGTGGAGGATGATGAGATCAGGTCAGTTAACCTACCTGTACAAATTCGCCATTCATGTAAAATAAAAATATTATATTTCAATATACATTCCTTGTCTACTTTGAATATTACATACAAAAGGATTGCAAATTTTTACTCCACTGTAAATACAAATGAAATTTTTATAGCTTAAACATTTTTGGTACATTGAGTTTGGTATTTTAAGTCATTAATTTTTGTTCCGCACATTTAGTCATTTCTGACATGCAGCAGATAACTGTACATGTAATATTATACTTTCCTTTTTTGTTAATGCCCTATTATCGAAACTAATTACAATTAATTATTTATATATATACTAGCTGTACCCGCGGTTATGTTATTCTGATGTACAAGCTAGGTATATTATTGTAAAGTTTCATTAAAATCCATTCAGTAGATTTTGCCTGAAAGAGTAACAAACATCCATCCATATTCGGTTTTGTTGTACTGCCGCATATTATCTGGTTTCCTCTTACGCCCACAGCTTTTAAAATAAGCTGCAGGTGGCTGACATATATGAGACTATGGAAGTAGAGGACGTTATATAACGTCTTCATCCGGTCTGATATGTATATACACTCTTCTTTATTGGTAGTGCGAGCGAGCCTACATGGATGACGGCTAGTAATGCCCAGAGCGAACGGATCGGTTCAGAACTACGCGCCATGGTACAGGCGCCTCCCGGATATAAATTTGTTGGGGCCGACGTCGATTCACAGGTCTGTATTTTAGTCCGCGAGCCAGAAGTTTATTTCGTCAATTATTTCCTCCCAGTCGAATATTATAAGATATTTGTTTGGAATTGCAATATCTAAAAGATGTAGCTATTTTATTTTTCTTATATGTATCATGTAGTGTTATAACTGATCTCTTGTTATGTACAGTTTACAGTTTCTGTTATTATAGTCCTGTCCCAATACCAGCTGTAACCGGGAGAGTTGAGTACTATCTGCAAAGAGTATTTATGGTTAGGGTATTTTTTATTGATTAGAAATCAACGGCGTTACAATATGTATTTACATTACGTATGTTACGTTAAAGCTAATTATAGGTTTCATTTAATTGACAAATACAGTATGTTATCTGCGGGCGCTAAAATAAAAATAGCTAAATATGAAATGAATGAGACATTTCGTAATGTCATTGTAACTAAGCCATTAAAGTAATAAGACACTGGGAATATGTCTATATATATATATGTCGAATCAGGAGTCATTTTAGATGGGCGTTGAGAATAACAATCAAGATATCAAACGATAGATGGTAGAAATACAAATTAGATTTTACTTGATATTTTTCAATAATCAATTATAACCAACAATACCTAGACAGGTCAATACCTGTCAATGAGAGTCAATACTCTACCGTTCCTCCCAGTGAACTGACACAAACTTTTCTGCTCCTCTCGCGGATTCTGTAGTGCCATTTAGAGGCACTTGCGTTTAATAATAGTTGTATTATAGAGGGCGCTGTTTTAACCGAAAATTGCGTCATATATATATTTAGTGGCTAATAAGTACGTCATTCATTAAAATAACAGGAGCTATGGATCTCAGCGTTGCTGGGCGATAGTACGGTGCAGGTGGCTGGCGGAAGTGCTTTCTCGTGGGCCGTACTGGCGGGTCACAAGCGGAATAACACCGACCTGCACTCGCTCACCGCTACGGCTGCAGGCATCTCTCGTGACCATGCCAAGATCATCAACTATGCCAGAATATACGGTTGGTATATCAGTTATACCAGTGGGGATCAATGGCATAGTAGCCATTTTTAGTTCGAAAAACGGATTTAGATGGCGTTATTGGTATCGAATGGAATTCAGCATTGTTTTGTAATCGTTTAAAACCCAAAACTATGTTTTTAAAAAGGTTTAATCTATTTTTAAAAAGTCATATATAGATGTTAAAATGAAATAATGCGTTTTGAAAAGTAATTTTCATATATTTACTCATTTTGTTGTTGCCCTGTATTTGTTTACAATTTAATCATTGCTAATTGGGGCTTATTGTTTCCAAAATACTTTCATAGATGGCGCTGTTTTCATTTGTATCACCGTATTTTAAATGTTTATTTTATATTTTCAAATAATAAGTACTTACTATATTATTATGATAAATTAAACATAAAAAAAGTTTAAGTAAATATAAAACAGCTAAACAAGAAATCCATATTATTCCAGTAATACTTATTTAGAAAGTGTTGCCATATTAAAAATAAATGCATAGATTTATCGATTTTTTCGAATAATCGATAACAGAATATTACAACGCATTATTCGATGGTGCTTTTAATTAGTCTTTGCAAACAGTAAAATTTCATCATTTTGTATTATACTCTTATTTGGAACGAATTGCAATGCATAATTTTTACTCGACGACGGCAAAATAGAGAGATTTTGACAGGTATGCAAGTACTATATATTTATCTGTTCGCTCATAACTTCGAAACTTGAAGAGGGAAATATTAATTAGATTGATCTGATACAAGTGTACTCTATTATATCAACCTCCACGCGGTCACGGGGGTAATTATAGCAATTAATGACATTAGTGACATAGTTCTTCTATTAAAAAAATAAATACCTACTTATTGTAATTTAATGAATGATAATTGAATGTGGTATAGAGTATATAAGGTCAGTATACCTTTATGAAACCTCAATAAACAAGTGTTATATGGTATCTAAATTACTGACATTGATAGCTAAATATGAGGATCCTCGAATTTTTAAACATACTCATAAGAAACTTTACAAATACTCGAATTTTGCTTTTGTAGAAGGATATTTTCAACCTTACTAAATTGTACAAGGTTTTGAAACGATAATCATTCATAATACTATGATATATTACTGATCCTAGTACCTACTATTCATGATAATTAGTTTTTTAATATCTCCATTCGAGGGTAGGTTATTCATAATTTATATTATTAGATTTCATCACAAATAAAAATATCGATTTAAAATCGTAGGTTGGTCCATATTTTTTTATTATATCGAAATGACAACGAGTACTGGCAACATAAATGAAATGTTAAAAATATAAAATATAGGAATAAAAGAATAGGATAAACGACTTTAAGTCAAATGCTTAAAACATATTTTCACTAGCATTGGATTTTTTCTCTTTTTTCATCATTTAAGTTAAGTAGGTACTTCAACTTTTAAATTGTTCCTGTTCAGAGTTCATTGAACTTCTTATTTTTTTGTCAAACTCAATAATTTAAATGTGTCTAAGGACTACTACAAATATTTAGTAAACTATCGTGTCTTTGAGGATTATCTCATACCAGGTATAACTATAAGTTGTTAAAAACTTGCATATGTATGCGTGTGTATCTTTCATATTAAAATATAATAAACATAGGTACTTGGTGACCGCTTTAATGTGGTATTATTATGTTTTTATTATTGTTATGAATGTAACTTCAAAAAAGAAAACTAACACTGATTTTATAATTTTTGATTGATTGAGAAAATACTGAAAATTATTAATCAAAATAAAGTACTAAACAGTAGTATTATTTTTATATTTTATTAGAACTGAATGAATATGATGTATGAATAATATGTTTATTGTGCTAATAAGGTTACAGTTTAGTTACTTTCATGTAAATTCATTCATGTAAGTTCATGAAAATGTAACATGGTATATGATATTGTTTTCAGATTTTCCTGACATCAACTTAATACTGAACAAAGTTTAAATAAATAAGAGATGATATTTTAAATCTCCTAGTCATTCAGATGAAGATAAATAACATTTTTACTGTAAAGAACAGGAGTTCAAAAGAATAAGAAATATATATATATATATATGAACATTTTACTGTATAAAATAATAATGCAAGTAAAAATAAGAGAAAAAAGCAGAAGAAAAATCTGTAAATTATTAATCACAATGCAATTAATAATATAATTAAATAAGTAAGAAAGCAACGGACTAGTGATGAGAAGAAATTCCAAGTAATTATATTATGTGTAACCGACTGCAAATAAGTTTATGATTTAAGCTCATGATTATTATTATATTGCTTCATCAACAAATCCAGGAATATTTTGTGTACCAGGAATTAATTATGAAATGATTTTGATGAAATATTATGTCTTGATATTGATTTATTTGGAATATAATATAAAAATAACAGAATTGTTTGAAGTTTTAGTGGTATAACAGACAAGCAGTGAAAGAAATATTATTGTAAATTATTAACAATTGTTTATTATGTGATTAATAAATTATTTAAAAGTGTTTTATTACCTGAAATGAAAATGTTATGATCTTCAAGTGTTGTGTTCATGCAATGTTAGTTTCACCTCATTCGATTTAAAATGTCAGGAATTATTTACTACATAATGATTTTGTATTAGATGGTAATCATATATATTTTTTAATGCAATGTGTATAATAATTCCCATTTACATCAAGAAACTTTGTGTAAATCTATATTTCTCTGTCTATAGACTTTGGTCGTGGAATACTAATAAGAAACAAAATCTAGAGACTGTAGTATATCACAGCATCCCAGAACCTTGTATTTAAGTCATATAAGGACTTAGTACCTACCTAATACTTGCTACTTTTTTAATCAATTAATTAATTTGATCTCAATCATCATGATGATAATGTTGAGAATACTGCCAATGATGAATTTTATGGTGGTCATAAATAAATACCACCGTCACTATCGTCAACAGTCATTATTGATCTCATCATCATCACCGTTACCCTCCTTCATCCATATTGTCAAAAGTTACTACCTACTATTATGAACTGAAATGGTAAATAAGCTGACGATCCATCCAACCACGACGCTATCCGACGTACATACATACACATATATTATTAAATAGCATTACGTCATCATGTCGTGCGCGCTATATCCCGCATACGTTATCATTCCGGAGAACATAGATGTTATGTCCAAATATCCTGTAATTTCGCAGCTTAATTTCAACCAGTGGCACTCAATGAGGAAATAGCCATTATTATTGCTAAAAGTTGCATATAGATGGCGTGATTGGTATCGATGGAATTCTTCATAGTTTTGCAAACGTTTTAAAAAACAAAACTGTGTTTTCAAAATAGTTTAATCCATTTTTAAAAAAATATATATACATGTTAAAATGAAATAATGCGTTTAGAAAAGTAATTTTCATATATTTACTCATTTTGTTATTTTCCAGTACTTAATTACACTTTAATCAGTGCTAATACGGGGCTCAATGTTTTCAAAATGCTTTCATAGATGGCATTGTTGTCATTTGTATCGGCCTAATTAAATGTCTTTTTTATATTTTCCAATAATAAGCACTTAATATATTATTATTGTAAATTAAACATATAAAAAAAGTTTAAGTAAATTAAAAATAGCCGAACAAGCAAATAATACTATTTCCAATAATACTTATGTATGAAGTGTTGTCATATTAAAAATAAATACATGTATTATCGATTTTTTTTAATAATCGATAACAGGATTTTATTACAGCGCATTATTCGATGATGCTTTTAATGAGTCGTTGTGAACAGTAAATTTTCATTATTTTGTATTAAGTATAGCAGTATTCCGTTTCAAAGAACGGAATATAGTAGTACATTATTAGTGTCGTTGGTTATTTACATTTGTACTGAAAAATCGATTACATAATAATTTAAAATATCGAGTACGAATCGTAGCTGTCTTCGAATACTGGCAACTGGTAAGATTAAAATAGTTTTAAAAAAAGAGAGAAATCGACCCTAACTCGAATACCATAAAGTTTATTTTCCTTTCTCATTAATATCATAGCAGTTTGTTTTTAACTTGCGTATGACTCTGTGGTATGATGTTTAACGTGTATTATTGTGTGTTATTGTACGGTGCATACATTTCAAAAATTATATTTTAATGTAGGTACATACATTTCTTTCATACATTTCATACATGTCAAAAATTATCTTTTAATGTAGGTACATACATTTCTTTCATACATTTCATACATGTCAAAAATTATCTTTTAATGTAGGTACATACATTTCTTTCATACATTTCATACATTTCAAAAATGAACTTTTTATGTAGGTACATACATTGTTTTCATACATCTCATACATTTCAAAAATTATATTTTAATGTAGGTACATACATTTCTTTCATACATTTCATACATTTCAAAAATGAACTTTTTATGTAGGTACATACATTTCATACATGTCAAAAATTATCTTTTAATGTAGGTCCTTACATTTCATACATTTCAAAAATTTCATACAATACATTTCTTTCATACATTTCAAAAATTATCTTTTAATGTAGGTGCATACATTTCACACATTTCAAAAATTTCATACAATACGTTTCTTTCATACATTTCAAAAAGTATTTTTTAATGTAGGTACATAACACCCCATGTCAGACCCCTTATATTTGGAAGAAACTTAAAAATAATGCCAAAAATATTAGATGAATATATTTTTAATACGAATATTGTTTTATTTTTGTTCATCAACTTTATCCCTCACTAACAATACTAGTAGTAGTACATAACCTGGTTTATACCGCTAAAGATATTGAAAGATGTACGAGTAATTCAGAATGTTATCAAGTTCAAAATAAGCACACATTACTTGCTTAGATAACAGAGTAATATTACTAGTAATAAAAACATTTGTAATACCCATATGTATACTACGTATGTATAGTAAGTACTTACGCTGCGGCGCCGTGAGACTCGTCTAAGTACTTCATCTACTCATCTACGCGCGGTAACCGCGCCGACCGACCAATAGGATAGCGCCTCTCGTGTTTCCAGAAAGTTCGCTCCTAACGGACGATATAGTAGCAATGAGTGTCCCAGTGATATCATTATAATATTTTCTCGTTAAATTTTATTGTAATATACACAATTTCGCACTAAATAACGTGTTACCCCGTTACACATTTCTAATAATGAAAAACCTAGACCGACCCTGTTCACTTAATCTTACAAGATCTGACTTTAAAAATTACGATATCCTCATATAGCCTTTCATTTCCCCTTTCAATACTTTTTCGCATTAAAAAGTAGCCTTTCTCAGGGTCTACATTATCTGTCTACCAAATTTCAATTAAATCAGTTCAGTAGTTTTGGCGTGAAAGCGAGACAAACAGACAGACTGAGTTACTTTAGCATTTATAATATTTGTAAGAATATCGCTATTAAAAATAGGGGTTGGTGAAAGACGGGTGAAAATTTAGGCGTGTATGTATTTTCAATGTAACATTATAAATAAATAAAAAATTGTCCATAATACAAAAAAATATTTTTTCGGGGTAGGCCACCCCTATGACTTAGGGGTATAAAAAATAGATAACAACCCTACCTCAGACCTGGGAAGTATACATATCAAATTTCATCAAAATGTGGGAGAAATATGGCAACTAACACTGTGATACAAAATTTATATATAAGATATAGCGGAATTCTCATTAGGTAAAAGAGGGGTACATCGTAGAATACATGAGGTATATACCAGTAAATTAATTGTAGCTAAAATCAGTCTCATACATATAACGATTGAAATAAAAAATCGTATAGCCCGATTTTGATACGTACGAGTATAAACGTATCAAAATCAGGCTATACGTATAGCGCAGACGCGTTACAACATATCAAAAAAAATAGGCATGGAATGTAAAATAAACCATAACACAATAGGTATATACATTGGCACATAAGCCATATCTGCAGAGTGTCGGCTAACGATATTATACCTACACATTTACATTGAATCTTGAATCGTCCCTAATGAGGTACACGATACAGTTACCTACATATCTTTGCAAAACAGATGTCATGTAGACTGAATTCACTGCCATCTATTTTCATGCTTTGTTACTAAGCACCCACTAGTAATCCGAACTGCTTCAGATCTAGCGACATCTAGCGGCTACGGTGGCGAAATAAAATAGCCCGAAGAATAGCCCGAGTTAGGAAGGAACCATTTTCTTGTATGGGATGGGGTATCTGTATGTAATATTATGTTATCTGTGATTTCAACTGAATAACAACTTACATAAATACCAAAAAACTAGCAGTAAAGGCGTAGTTTGTAGATATCAAGGTTCTACAAATAGGTATAACATCAAAATAAGTACCTACATGTCATTAGCACCGATGTAGTATCCCTGAAAGAACCTACATATAACAGATTGATGGTTTGCAGATATTATTTTCAGTTTTACAAATTGCCAGTTTACCATAATTAACTACATATTGAGAAATAATTATATACTGAAAATTATATGAGGTACCCATATGCACATCAATTGATTATAGCTAAAATCTATAACTATCACATAACAATTTAAATAAAAAAAACCGTATTAAAATCGGGCTATTCGTTAAGGAGCTATTGCTCCTTAACCGATAGCCCGATTTTAGTGCAGACGCGTTACGACATATCTTCGTCGGGAGAAAAAAGTAGGCATGTAAAAAAGTAACTGTAACATAGTACATAGATACATAGGTACATTAGCCGTGTCTGTAGACTGTCAGCGAACAATATTATACCTACATTGAATTTTCGATTGTACCCAATCAGGAGTTCGATACAGTTATATATCTATTATGTACGTATCTTTGCAAAACAGATGTCATGTAGACCGAATTCTCTGCCATCTATTTTCATGCTTTATTACTAATCACCCACTAGTAATCCGAACTGCTTCAGATATAGCGACATCTAGCGCCTGCGGCGGCGAAATAAAATAGCCCGAAGAATAGCCCGAGTTAGGAAGGAACCATTTTCTTGTATGGGATGGGGTATCTGTATGTAATATTATATTATCTGTGGTTATACCATTCAGATCTGATAATAATATTCCTGGACAATTCCCACAGCGCTATCTAGTAGTAGTAGAGCTTGTGTTATCCATAACACAGTATCCATACTAGACAACTGTGGGCTGATTATCTAACTTCGATCGCGACGATTTTCGTATATAACGTAGAGAAAATAACGTCATCTATGAATTATCACAGTAACTACATACAAACACACACATACTCTCACATGCATACACACACACACACACAACATTCAAAATTCTTTATTTCGATAACTCAATTTTACAATTACATTCTACAGTTGTTGAAGACTCCTTTTAAACATAGAGATGCCTGGGCCAGGAGGCTCCACTCTTCCATAGCTTATATCAAACCTTTTGTAAAATGTTTCTTGTTTATATATATTCAAACAAACGTGCCGCTTGTAAACTTATTATTATTATTTTTATACTTAATTTCTAATAAGTAACTTTTGCTTTAGTTTATATATTTGGTATCTAATGTCTTAAATAATCTAAAAAAAACAAACACATGACAATTTATATGGAAAAGCACGATGTACCAGACACAGGCATTTCTATGCTTACTAGGTCATACCAACACTATGTTATTAGTAACCAAATAGTTTTTTAAAGAAATAAACGTTTCTCCAATTTCGCCATTTCACGCTGTCAACTATCATTGCTGATGTAAATACATAGCTACTATTTTTGTGTAAATATAATAATATACATCTAAAACAACCGATACCAAAAATTGTAGAAAGACAAATGTTTGTACCTTGCGAGATATGGAACCCGCGACCATCGGTAATAAGGCGGTGTGTTAAAGCGCTAGATCACCAAGGCCATCCTGTTTAATATATACATGTTTGGATGTTATGTATCAAGTAATTTCTATATTCGTAATAATTATTAGGCGCCGGTCAAAACTTCGCTGAAAGACTATTGAAGCAATTCAACCCGACCATGACGATATCCGAAGCTAAGAGTAAAGCTGCCAAAATGTTTACCTCAACCAAGGGACGGAGGGTCTATACCCTTAAAAAGAAGTATATGGAGGGATTCATGGATGAAGACATAGGATCAGAAGTCAGTTTCCAATCACTTAGACTTATATTTTGACCATCCCTTTTTATATATACATTTTTATACTACTAATATATGGTATGTTCTTGTTGTGTTGTTGTACACATGTACGTTTGTTACACACAAATCTCTGAAGCTAGTCGAATTTCATAATTCAATAGTTGGGGGGGGAGGGAAGGGAGGGTATTGTAAGTAATGTGGACTGATGATCGTATTGCTAGCAATGTACCATGTTAGGTTGACCTCCACGTGGTTCCCCCTGGAAGCCATCATGGCAAATCATTAGTGAAGTTGTGACGATGGGCTAACTGACCTGACTTCATGCTCATCCTAACATCTTCCATTGGTCCCTGCCAGCGCAAAGCGTTAGCGCAGGCGGACACACCATTCCATTATCTCCATAAAAAAACTATTGTTGGAGAGTATTAAAGTATGTTTGACATCACGCTGCAATTTTTAGATGTGTTGTGTGTGAGATGTACATGCACAGACTTGAATAACACCCTAACTAATTAGCCCACGATCTGGTCAAGATCGCGGGAAGGCATTGGATGCGAGCAGCGCAGGACCGATCGTCGTGGAGATCTTTGGGGGAGGCCTATGTCCAGCAGTGGACGTCTTCCAGGCTGCGATGATGATGATGAATTAGCCCTAAAGCTTCTAGATACAAGCGATGACGTATTCTGCCTGAAGAGGGAACTTCTGGCCAAAATACAAGTACTCCTAGGTGAACAAATAAAAATCAGATTATTTTTTTTCTTTATCTATTATTAACTATACTACAGGACTGTACCATTTTATTGTTTTTGTATAAAATGTGTATGTTCTTGGATTCTATAAATGAATAAATTTACATGGCAGTCAGTAGAGATGCCCGGTTACCAAGCGTTGAGATTGGCGAAACTTAGCGGCAAAAAGGTGGAGGAAATGTTCGAGAGGCCGAGGTGGATTGGCGGCACGGAATCCGATATGTTCAACAAACTAGAGGAAATAGCTGGTAGGTACTAACATTAAATATTTATGACAAATTAACGTGTATACACAACTAATAATGAATAATATAATACCACCCTAAAATTGGCTCCAAATTAGACAATAGTTACTAACATTATTATTAAAAATATATTTTGTGCCTTCTATACTATCTTTATATCTGCAAGTCATGGACCCTATGTACAGTACAAGAGATAGACTAAAAAATCGTGTACGTGGGTATAACCAGTCCCCGAACAGCTTCTTTGTAAGCTGTGTTTCGGTTGTAATATGTGATTAGGCAGTGATAAAATAGAATAGAATCTATCTATATAATCTTTATTGCTAACTGTGTGGGTATAACTGGGTAGTATAAAAATATTTTTTTTCATGGATGAAAATTGAATGGTGCACCCGTCTGCGCTAACGGTTTACGCTGGCGGGGCACCGGTGGAGGATGATAAAATGATCATGAGGTCAGGTCAGTTAGCCCATCGTGACAAATTCACCGGGAATTTATCCAGGAGGCACCGCGTGGAGGTCACCCTGACATGGTATATTCCTAGTAATTGGGTCATGAGTCCACATTACTAACAATCCCCTTCCCTCCAAGAATATATATTGTATATGTGTAGTGTAGGCGCTACCACTAAAAGTTCATTAACTGTCGTCGCGCGCTGAGCGTACACGGGGCGCATTGCGTAAGAGGGGAGATATGTATTCCCCGTAGAGAAAAGACATGGACCTATGGCTCACGAGCCGGTATTATGTCGATAACAACTTATGTACCAGGAGATATAAGTGAACACTACAAAATGTATCAACATTTACACCCTATAGCAGAAGTCACTTTTTAACCTTCCCATTTCATTCTTCTCAATGTTACATATCATCTATTTAATAAAAACCCTCTGTCGCTTGTAGAGTCGGAGTCCCCGTCGACGGCGTTCCTTGAGGGGCGCCTGTCTCGTGCGCTGGAGCACGCCCGCGGTCGGTGGGGCTCCACGCGCCTCAACTGGGCCGTGCAGAGCGCCGCCGCTGACTTCCTGCACCTCATGCTGGTTAGCCTCGCGCACCTCGCGCCGACTGCCAGGTCAGCTGTTGACTCCTTGACCTTTGTTAACACGTTGTCCTCTATTCACACCTTAATCTCTTATGATACGTTGAGCTCTGTTGACATCTTGACCTCTGTTGACACGTTGTTCTCTCTTGACACGTTGACCTTTGTTGACACCTTGACCTCTGTTGACACGTTGTTTTTTCTTGACACGTTGACCATTGTTGACACCTTGACCTCTGTTAACAAGTAATAATTTCATTGTGGAACTGTTACAGAAGACAACTACGAATATTTTTTTAAACCATCTTTTATCTTTTTATCCGTTGAAACATAAAAATGTAACAAATAACCGTAGGATTTGACTCAACCTTGTTAATGATATAGTGCTTCGGAACATAAGTGAAGGATGAAAGAATAAAAAGATATGGATGTATTGATGTGAGAATTCATGAAATTACCGCGATAGTTTCGAGGGTCATTTATTAATTATACTAATCGATAGAGCCGCCATTGCCAGCGAATGTTTCCTTCTCATCCAGTCATACTGGTAACGGCGTAATGCTAATGATTTTTTTATTAGATAAGATTGCATTCGTTATCTGTCGCTTTGAGTTTACACACGTGCAGTAATTTATTCCTCTTTATATATACATTTGTTGTGTTAGATTGTAGGGTGACGTTTCTCTGAATCCTAATGATTAACTTGATTAACTATCTTTTTTAGATTTTGTCTCAGTTTCCACGATGAAGTAAGATATCTGGTGCCCGAGGATATAAAATATGAAACGGCACTAGCGTTGCAAATAACCAACTTACTCACGAAGGCCTTCTGTTCACAGCGGTAAAGTTAATGATTTTAGATTTTGTTTGCAATTTCATTTATCTACATACATAAAAAGTAACTTTTTATATTTTATACTTTGACGGTCCTGGTGGTACAGCGATTTAGCACACCGCCTTACCTCCGATGGTCGCGGGTTCGATTTCTTGCACGGCACAAACATTTGTATTCATGAGTATGATTTTTGTATCGGTCTGTGTGTTTTCTACGTATAATACGTATGTATTTACGAAAAAAAAATCTATGTATTGGTGTCAGTAATCTAGTAACTATAACACAAACTTTATCTAGCATAACTTGGGTCTAGGTGGCGTTGTGTGAATTGTTCTAAGATTATTATTATTATTGGATTGTTAAAACAACATATGGTTTTATTTTGATAGGACTATATATTTTATAATTATTTTACAGGAGTACAGTTTATATGGCTTAACGGTTAGAAACAGAAAGATTTGAATAAACATTTTTAAATTGTCTATTGTTGTCATTACAAAGAATAATTATATACTACAATATATTTGTATTTATGTATTTTAGGTTCAAATTATCTTGAACAATTATTATTATTTCAGAGTGGGTATAAATGATCTCCCGCTATCAGTGGCATTTTTTACTTCGGTAGAGGTAGACCAAGTATTGAGAAAGGAATCCAACCTCAGCTGCGTCACGCCGTCCAACCCACACGGATTACAGAAAGGCTACGGCATTCCGGATGGCGAATCACTTAATATATTTGACGTCTTACAAAAGTGTAAAATAAATAATACTAAATAATTCCTTGTTTCATTATATGATATCACAATAATATACTTTGTAATTTGTGCGATACGGTATAAAAATGTCAGTGTGGTTTCTGTGATTTACTAATCTGTCGTCCAACAGTTTGTTTTAATGTTGTTTTTATATTTTTATAAAATAACATCTTAATTAGTACAATTATTACATAATGTAATGACCCCATAAGGAAATAATTGTTCTGTTCAGTATACCAGTCAGTGTCATCGTCACAGAGTACTTTATCATACCATATCACCAATCTCACAGATTACCTCAATGTCACTTTTATTGTTTTGAAATTTTGATAAGAAAATATCCATTATCGGAAATTACGTGTTCTCGAATATTAATTGTTATTTTGTATAATAAGATAAGACGATATTCTTTTCTTGTTTCAAAATTTGTTTATAAATACTGTTTATTACACACATAACAGTATAATTTGTGATATGGAAACGATTAAAACATAACTTTGGATATATTGCTGTGATTGTAATATAACCTTGTGAATATTGGCTGAGTGGTATGGATTGCAATATTCCTTACAATAGATTAAGAATGTCTAACATAAACTACACTACCCGTACTGAAGGGCAAACCAAAATCAATACAATAATATGGACTGTGCCAAATTTCATTAATCTGTTAGAAAATAAATCCACTAGAGAGTTTCGTACAGAAAAACCAAAAGATCCCAACACAGAAATAAGTGATTGTAGGTTTCAATTAAAAATGCAATTCTTGGGAAGAGATAATGATATAATAGAAATATATTACCTATCTTCGACGCCAGTGTTTCTCAAATCTATATTGACGATATGTCTGAAACGTTTTGAGGAACGTTCGATCGTTATAAAAGAGTATCATACTGTTCAAGCAAACAAGTGGCAGTACTTGGCCACTTTATTCAAACGCGATATAGCGAGTTACGAGGGCCGTGATATATTTCTTCTCAGTGATGGTAGCTTGCGTCTTAAATTCCAGTTTATGGTCACAAATGACATTAAAGTTGATAGAACAAATGTACCTGAAGCCCAATTGAGTAATGACTTTGAAGATCTTTTGAATAATGGTCTATTTTCTGATGTAACCATGAAATGTGCTGAAGGTGTTGAATATAAGGTACACAAAGCAGTACTGGCAAGCAGAAGTGCTGTACTGAAGGCACACTTTGAGCATAATACTGTGGAATGCATAACAAATATTGTAGAATCACCGCTAGACTCTGATGTGTTGCGGGAGGTCTTGATGTTTATATACAGTGATAAAGCTCCACGGGTGGATGAAATACCAGAGAAACTTTTAGCAGCCTCAGATTACTATCAACTGAGTAGACTGAAGAGCTTGTGTGAGGAAGCATTGCATAAGAAATTAACAGTGGACAATGCTATTGAGACACTTCAACTAGCCGACTTGCATTCTGCCAAGGCTCTCAAACAGTCAACATTGGAATTTATAAAGGATGGCCAAGCCAAGCTTATAACCAAAACAAAGGGATGGGCTGATGTACAATCTGTGGATTTGATCAAAAGAATTTATGAGTACATAATGGCAGATGAACTAGATCCAGATTTGAAATAGGTAGCTCTTTATTTTATCAGAACATGTATTTATTTTAAAAATATCTAGTATTTACTCGTGTTTTGTAAAGTATTGTTGACTATGTTTGGGGTTTTTAGTCATGAGTGACAATGTTGCCATTGATATAAGTATTGATTTTAGTACTCATGTCATACTAAACTGTAGATATATCTGAGGGTCAATTGATATATATTCAGAGTCTTAAGGATATAGTTTTATGTCACTTGAAAAATAATTGATGTTACTAAAGAAAGTTTTAGTTTCATGCTGAAAATTTTAAGAATGGAAATAGCTTCTGATTTTTTATTTGATTGTTTTTGTATTAAGGACATTTGAAATTTTTAAATTGTATAACTATAAATGTACTTACTTTTGTAGTAGATATAAGATTTATGACAAAACAAATTACTATAAATTGTTAATTGGAAAAAAAGTGGAGTCTGCTGATGTTTATAATGATTAAGACATTTGTAATATGTATATTTTTATTCAGTATAGTGATGTTAGTTTAAATTGATACTTAATATTTATGTACCTAGTCATGTCTATATGTAAAATAGCAAATTATTTAATATGGACTGATTTTGAAGATTATAATATATGGTTGGTCTATAATAATGTATATACCCAAATACTTATATTACCTTTTTTTATTTTAAAATGATGATTTTTCATTTCTTATTAAAAAAATAAGGGTTGTTGATATTGTATTAAACTATTCTAGATTTGTGTATGTATATTTATATGTATTTTGAACAAAAACATTAAGATACTTTATTTATTTAAATATATTTTTCAGTATTTATAATTAAATAAACACTATCATAACTTTCATATTTTTGTTTTTCCATCCATTCAGATATTTTACTGTTGTTTACTTTATTTATATTGTTAAAAAATATTAACAAAGGGGCGGGTAATGAGGTATTATGGTTCAGCGTATTATGACCCAAGGTGAGTGAAATAGTCACTGTACACAAATTAAGAATATTAATTTCATATGATTATAAATATTCTTCATTGGCAAAGGAAAATCTTAGTCTCATTAAAAGTGGTAAAAGTATTGTATAATATAAGACAATTCTTTTACGACATTTAATGAGTTATTACTAGTTGCTAGTGTTTTTATATTGGAATAAATAAACAATTGTAAAATTGAATTATTCCTTTACTATTAATCACTCAGGAAGATTAATATGAGATAAGTATAGAAAATTGGATTTTATTATTTGTTATAAAGTGTGACTATTTTAACCTCCCTAGGTCATCAGGTTTGGAGACTGTTATATAAAATTAAATAAAAAAGATGGATACAGAAATATTATTTATTAGAACTGCCTCCCTCACTATCACTATTAGAGTCACTGTCATCACTAGATTCACTGTCACTTTCATATACATTTATATTTTTCCTATTGGTATTCACAAATAAGTCATCATCATCATCACCATTATTAATTCTATTCTCTTCTTTTTTGCCATCATCAAATTCCTTTGGCCACAGACTGTTCTCTTTGTAATATTTTATAGAGTCCTTATTCATTATTTTAACAATTTCTGCTTTCACTTTATCACCTTCCAGTATTGGTTCCACAAGGATGTAATCACCTCTCTTCACCCATATGTTTTTGCGGAATTTTGTTGGCATGGACACTAAATATTCTTCTCCATTGGGTGTACAGACCTAATAACAAATTGATTTCTTTACTCAATAATAATTGAGATATAATTATTATAGAAGCAACAAAGATACAAACTGTAGTGATTGCAAAATATTGAATCAAAATAGGTGCAGATAATTATATTGCACGAAAAAATACAGACCACTTGAGAATTTTCTCATTCTGAAGTTATTAAATAAGGGGTTACAGAAAAAAACTCAAGGTATGTATGAAGAGATTCAAACGGTGCTGGACCAATCAATATGGGGAGCGAAGAGTAATAACCAAACTTACTTTAATTGTGGATTATTAACTAAAATGTGCCGATATCAAGGCAAATGGAATCAAAACGTACCTCATGTAAATTGTTTCCTTTACTTTTTAATACCCGTACTACGCTCTGATTTTCTTTAGGAAGTTCATAGTCGTCCCACAATGCTTCATTCATAACATGCTTTCTTTTATTAACTTTTGACATGTTTTTTGACTTTATTTCTTATCAAACATTTCTTAATAAATTATAAAAGATAATTATCAACCTCTGCAAGACTTTTACAAGACAATTATTTAAAATAAAATAAATAAATGTGTTTATTATTGCTGTACAACAAAGTATGGCAAAATAGTTTTAATAGTTTATAAAATAAAGTACTCTGTACTGTCAATCAGCCTGTCTGTGCTTCAATTTCAGTGTTTATATTCGCATCGAAGTGATGGTGTATTTGGTGTGATGTAGTGTTTTTGTTCATGTGGAAACACTAGCAGTTTATTATCTATCGTCTCGAGCCGAGCGTACACGGACCGCCGTGCGCAAGAGGGAAGGGATTCCCTGCGCAAGCGCCGCGGAGTAAAGACGTGGAGCTATGGCTAACGAGCCGATATTACGTCGATAACAACTTACATACAAGAAGACATAAATAACAAATAAGTGAACACTATATGTGGCGACGAGGCAAAATGGATATAAATAAAGATAAGTACAAAATCATTTAATAAGATATACATATACCTACGGGTACGGAGTAATTACAAATTTAGAAGGATTATGGTGGGGCCGCACGGGGAGCGAATTATATAGACCTATACAGAAAAAACAATAGCTGGGTAACATCGGTTTACGATCGATTTGCGCCAAGTAAGTAGGTACCTAATTATAAATTGTACTTGCTATACCTATAGTGTCTCTAGCTGGTAGGAATAGTCGTATTAATAATCATTATAGTAATATGTTTACGTATATCCGTGATTTATTATTTTTAATGTATGATAATGGTGTACTGCCTGCGCTGGCGTGGCACTGATGGAGTATGGTAGAATGAGCGGGGGGGATAGGATCGGTTGGCCCGTCGTGGTGGGTTCGTGTTAATTTGTCGCGATGGTTTCTGGGGGAGCCGCGTGGAGGTCCCTCTGGCGTCATATATTGTTAGCAGTGGGATTATTTTAACAATCCCATTCCCCCTTCCGTATTTCCGTGTTGAAATAAAAAAATCGGTAATGATTGTTGTTGCCGCTGCATGTTCGTTTCATAAGGGGACGGTGACGGTGAGATGTTTAGTGGGACATCATATTACGTGATGCAATAGACCTGTGGGTATGAAGTATAATAGAGCACTGTGCGGGCGACACGTTTGTTTTGCTTTATCTTTTCTAGGTGTCGATGCACTTTAATTACTTTTGGCAATAGGGCCGCCTTATTGTATTTATACAGAGGTGGTGACTAGTGTTCAAATGTCACTATTTTCTTTTAGAGTATTGCTGCAAATGGAAGTGGTCTAAAGTTCCTCTTTCTAACTGTAATGATCACATGATAACCTAATATTACATTTTGTACAATATATTATATTACGATGTAAATAAAAAAAAAAAAATATTACGATGTTGTCGGGTGATACGATATTATTACAAATGATGGTGAGCTGACAATTGTACCTGCATTATAGTACTGATGTTGGGTATTATATACAAAACAACAATAGTAAAATCTAAGGTGGGGTGACACACACGGTTTGAGCAGTACTTGGTGAACAATATTTATATTTGCCTTAATTGATTGCAAGTGTTGAAGTATCTGGGTAACAGTGTCCCATACATTTCGATGCGGATGAGTTGTTCGGAATACCTGCAGACTATTTTATTCTGGTATTCGAGCAGAGCCGCGAAGTAGTGTGGTTAAAATGTTTTTATTTGGATTGGATTTGGCTTTTGGATTATATAATTTATAAATAATAATTATTAGTGAGCATTCCAATGGATGCCGGTGGGAATTGCAATTGTTTTGCATAGGAAGGTTTTAAATGTAGATTAATTATTAGTTTGATATATTATGTTGGGGTCTACTATACATGTCGTATAGTGCAAGGTGCCTATCTACTTGTCTGGCATATTTTTACCAATTTGTGCTTTGTGTTAAAATGAAGCGCGCATCTACACTTGCGACCTAGAAGGCAATCTTTTGGTTTGGTGAATTTAGTGTCTAATGAATTTGTTGAAGAAAAACAAAAAACAACGTAGTCAAGAGGTTGAGATGCCGACTATTATATTGCGAGGAAGTGTGTCGCTAGTTATGGTCGGATGTAAGGTACAGGAGTGCTGTTTCTGTATGCGGTGTGTGGTTTCTATAGTCAGTAACACTGGAACGAGAAAAATGATACCTAATTATGTATATAGAATTATTCTATTATTTTTACAGCAATGACAGTGATTAACTTTTAATAATAAGCTATAGTATAGTACAGTGGTGGTGAGTATGTCTTTATGGAATCATATTTAAGATTCTCTCTAATTTAAAAATACCAGTAAATTAGAAATTGCACAATAATGGTTACATGAAATAGAACTACTATTAAGTTCTGAATTATTGTACCTACTCGCCTAATGCATTATGCGGATGAGTGAAGGGGTTATTAGAGTGGAAAAAAAAAATGTTTTTTACATTCTTTGAAGTTTCGGGAACATGGAATAGAATATGAATATTCTTTATTTAAAGAAGCTTGAATAAATAATAGGAATAATAGCCATAATTGCATTAATGTACCGCATTTAGTAGCTGTGGAATGGAGTTAGAATTTGTTTTGTGATCACATGCAGACAGCGCTGACAGCTGTTTTATATGAATGTGACGGGGATGTTGGAGCGATGGGGAGTCATTTTTAATTGACAGTTAATCCAGTTGCGGCTGGAGTTGTGTAGTGTCGCGATACGCGAAATAAGTGTATTAATGTGGTTTTGAGTTTTGAGATAGCTAATAGGAAATGATACCTGCTTCCTCCCGCGTACACTTAAATCGTGGAATGAACTTCCTGCCGAGGTTTTCTCACGAGACTACAGCATGGGGTTTTTCAAAAAGGGTATATTAAGGTTTCTTAAGTGTCGGCAACGCGCACGTGACACCCCTGATGCTTCAGGCGTCCATAGGCTACGGTAACCATTTACCATCAAATGGGCCGTAGGCTTGTTTGCCACCATAGTAGTATAAAAAAAAAAAAAGTAGTTGTAAAATATATACATGTATTTGTTTATCGTCATAGTACTGGTGTTGGTCGCTCTCTAAATACTTTGGCCGCATTGCAGGGTAGCTTAGACAAATTAGCGTGTTTTAACTTTTACATACGTACTACAGTGCAACCTCGATAAAACAAATCGAAAAAAAAATATATATATATATAGTATATCAAGTAATTCGTTGAACTGAGATTTATTATGTTGAAGGTACGTTGGTCTAAACTTCGTTATAAAAAGGTAAAAAAAAACTGTCGTAAGCTATTTCAACTTGAATCTTTAATAATAGTGACGAGCAGCAGTGTTTACAAAACTTTACATTACTTTCCATCGAACAACAATTATTGTTCTACGAACATAAGTACGTCGAAACATGTCCTGACATGAATCACATTTTATGAGATAAGAGATAAGTAGAGTTAGAGTCATACCATTGGTGGGAACATTATATAAAGGTTTTGGGTTAAGAAAATTCCTTAGAAAGAGGTGTTTTTCCAAATTAAAAAAAAATAATAATAATAATGTCGCAATGTAAAGGTATATTTTACATCGATTCTTATGGAAAATCCAAGGGATTACAAAGAATTAGTTAAATCAAGGAAGTCGTTATATACGAGGTATATTATTGTGAATGAGGTGCGTTATATTATGGCTGCACAATTATTATTATTATTATTACTAGATAATAATGTAAACCATGATGCATGACAGTAACAATTACTAACGATACATTATTGGAAAAAAAGTGGTTCTGAGGATACTATTAGTATTCCTATACTTTAGATTAGAATTATTTACTGGACATTCTTGTGGAGTAAATAAATCTGAAATATGTTTAATATTAGTAGTCATAAATGTATATATTGTGAAAATTAAATGGATAAGAGTGGCGTTTAATTGTCTTATAATTATAAAATTTGGTGTTTTGCAGGAGTCCATGATTTGCTTATAAATTGACTATTGGCTCGGATGACCTTAAAGAAATTAGCAAAGGAAGAAAAACAATGAGCATAATACTAATAACCAATACTTAAAGAGGATGAATTAAGAAGTTCAATGGAGTTATAATGACGGTGACAATGGCATTGATATTCTAAAAAAGGAGCTACAGAGGTAAGGTAGACTGGGCCGTCAAGCATTAAATTGCGTATTGACGGACAGGTTGCATTAAATTGCGTTGGCTGGGCCATCAGGCATTAAATTGCGAACTGATGGACAGATTGCATTAAATTGCGTTGGCTGGGCCATCAGGCATTAAATTGCGAACTGATGGACAGATTGCATTAAATTGCGTTGGCTGGGCCATCAGGCATTAAATTGCGAACTGATGGACAGATTGCATTAAATTGCGTTGGACTGGGCCGTCAAGCATTAAATTGCGTATTGGCGGACAGGTTGCATTAAATTGCGTTGGCTGGGTCGTTAAGCATTCAATTGCGTATTAACGTCCAGTTTGTGTTAAATTGTCTTTGGCGGGGTCATCAAGCATTGTATTGTGTATTGATGAATGGTGTCCTATTCATTAAAGGTAAATTGATAGAATGTTGCATTAAATTGCGGTTGAATATAAGTAATAAAAAATTGCCAGTTTTAATGCATATTAATTATCGGAGTGAAATGGAGCGGATTCAGTAAAATATAATAAATCAAAAGTCATAGGACACACATTAATTTTGGTCGAAAATATAATTTCTATAACTAATATAATTGACGATTGCTGGAGTACGTAGAGTCGCTGTGGTGATATATGTGGTATATGTGGTATATGTCGATCGCTCAAAGACTGGTCTGACAACCTTTCCTAATATTTTAGCACTGAATTAATGCAGGTGATAAGAGAGATAATTTTGGTACGATGAAGAATGGTTATAGTTATACCCAATTAATACTATATGGACTGATATCAGATGTGTAGACAGAATATAGTGGAAAGTCGTTTGCAATTGTTGATGCAACTCTTGATATAATAATAATATTCTGATATACCACCACAGGACCCATCAATATTTTATGGAATGATAATAATAAATAGTGGGGAGTTTTGAAGAAATTCCAGATTGTGTTTTAGATAATCAGTTTTCAAATGTACATGATAAAGAAAAATACTACATGTAAATAACACATTGCATGAGACAGATAGAATGAAAAAAAATATAAGTATTTACCTTAAACCTACAAAATATAAAGTAGTGACTACTATGATAGAGATATTCTGGTCATAAACATACAACATTTTTTCAGAAGTGCTTTATACTAATCTTACATAATATTACACAATAACAAAGTGGAATAACGATTATATGAAAACAAATATAAAAGAAGAAAGGTGAAGTATGTGAAACACAGAGTAAATTGGAGTTAATATATAAATGTAATTTATATTCGAAAGAGGAGGAAAAATCACGGTGCTGGTTACGCTGGAAAGGCCAATCGCACTAGAGGCATTCGGCTTATGTGTGGCAGTATAGTGTCAAAATGAGTCCACCATCGGTGTAACGTAGCACACATGCCTCCAAGGAACAAATACCTAATAGAGTGGATTGATTCATGCTTGAAAAGAAAATAAACTTAAAAAGGAGAGAGATGTAGTGTATGTGGAAACACTAGCAGTTTATTATCTATCGTCTCGAGCCGAGCGTACACGGACCGCCGTGCGCAAGAGGGAAGGGATTCCCTGCGCAAGTGCCGCGGAGTAAAGACGTGGAGCTATGGCTAACGAGCCGATATTACGTCGATAACAACTTACATACAAGAAGACATAAATAACAAATAAGTGAACACTATACTTAGTTATTTCTGCTCATCATATTGCATCATTTTGCCAATCATCTGTTTGATGAGAAATGACCATATGTTTTGTTTATGATGTGAAAATGGAACTTAAGTTGCGTTAATGATAATTTAATTCACCAACCTCATGCATAAAAAACATTTGTATTATCTAATTAGGAGTTACATGAGAATTACTTAATTACTTTCATCTATTATTCTACATACAGTATTCTTGCTAGTATCACTACAAATACTGACTGTCAATTAGTAACATTAAAATAACGAAATTGGGAAAGTCATACAGCTGTTTATAATTATTCCACTTTATTTCCAATATTTGATTCAATAAGTTTTCAACTATAGGAACAACTTTTGTATAAACAATTATAAAATGAACCGTTTTAAGTAGCCTCCAAACAAAAAAAAGAATAAATTCTTAGAACTAAGAACAATATTGATCACATTGGCATTAAAAAATAACAGCATCATAATTGGTACACTCACTAAGATTAGGAACTAAGATGCTACAGTTACACTTACAGATCTACAGATACAAACAGCATATTAAAAAAGGTATAGAAGAATTGAAGAAAACTTATTAAGTTAGAATGAATTAATGAAGTTTTTTACGTGGCAAAAACAAAATAACTTGAAAAAAAAATTGCTCATAGGGTTTTGCTACAGTCATTGCTAAAATGCATTACCTTTGTAGTGAGAGGTCATACTTTAATTGTAATTGTAGTGCTATTGATTATTTAAGCAGCAAGTTCTTTATATTTTTTGTGTGTATTTAACTTGAACAGGTTGTCTACTGCATGCTTAATGTATGTAACTTGTACTACTCAATCTAGTAAAGATGGATTCGTACAAAATACAGACATTGTATACATACTTGGTTCACACAAAAATTGCTTAGCATTAAAACACTCAATATACAAGTAAACATATAGTTCACTTAACTATAAATATGACAAGAAATTTTAACAGTTCCTTTGTAAACAAAGGAACTCTTAAAATTTTCAAATGATATGAAACAAAGTTTAGAATCCATCTAAAAACTACAAATATTGTGTTAAACTTATGACTGTTATGATGTAGGCCTCTTTAGATTCAAATGAATTAGTGTTGAATTTGTCATAATGCACTAAGAGGTCAGACTATTTATATTCATTCTATCATCATCCACTTGTGACCCACCAGAACATACCATTCTGTTGTCATCTATACATATAAAAAAAATTGAAGTATCCGTTTTTTACTACATGCATATGAATATAAATATGATACATACAAAATAACACTTTTTACAATTTTTGTCTGTCTATCTGTGTCTGTTATGGCTAATCTCTGAAATGGCTGGACTAATTTTGATGGGACTATTTTTTTTGGCAGGTAGCTGATGTAATGAGTAACTTAGGCTACTTTTATTTTAGAAAAATAAAGTTAGATTCCATGCGGATGAAGTTGCTTTTTTTATGTGTCTTAATGAAGTTTATTTTTCAGTTGCAAATATGGGACACAGCTGGTCAAGAGAGGTTCAGATCTATAACACAGAGCTACTACAGATCAGCACATGCTCTCATATTGGTGTATGACATATCTTGCCAGCCCACATTTGATTGCTTGCCTGATTGGCTGCGAGAGATTGAAGAGTATGCTAATAATAAAGTGCTTAGGATATTAGTGGGTGAGTGTTACTTATCTTTTTTTTACGTAATGACTTGTATTGTGTTATTTGCCTTGTTGCCTAAAACTAGGACATCTCAAAATAATAACTAAACGAGAAGCACTTAATGATTGGCAGAATACGCCAGGATTAGTACATTCAAAAGCCTTAATAACGGGCTACTCGAATCAATACTCCTAATAGACTTCTACTATTGAGTAAAAACAATATATGCATCATGACTAGGGCCCTCACTGGACACTGCAAGCTGAATAAGCACATGGCGAAATTAGGCTTTAGCTTAACATCAACCTGCAGATTTTGCCAAGCAGAAGAGGAGATGCCACTGCACATCCTATGTGGCTGTAGCCCTCTAATGCATAAACGAAATATCTCCTTTGGAAAGTATACACTATTCTGAGGAGATAAAAACCAAGCTCCTAAGAATATCCTTCAATTCTTGTCCTTTACGGGTCTAGGTAGCGAGCTTTGAAAATGGACGAGCACAATAGATCTATACAGATCGCAGTATTACAGGTCATTGCACCTGGTAATAGCCCAAACCCCCCAATAAAATAAAAATAATTTTGTTATTTCTATTTATATTTATATGTTACTGGTATGATAACCAAATTAACATCATTAAATGGGCGGATTGTTTTTCTGATGGGTATAAGTTGGAGTGTGGGGTGAGACAAGGTAACTGATAATAAAACAACAACTGATAATGAAACTTGTCTATAGTTTCATGACATAACGTTATTGTCACCATGTTAATTTAAAAAAATTAAATGGCTCAATGTAGTAATGCCGCAGAATCATTGAATAGTAATAAGAAAAGTTTTTATCTTTAGAAATGGAAGTTTTTTTATATCTTCTTTATATTAATCGAAAAATATACTGTGTATTTGACATCTGAAAGCATTACCTGAAGAGTAAGGAACATAACAACACGCATATGCACACACACTCCAACTTATACACACAAACACTAAAAAATGCATGTGTTCAACAGGTAATAAAACAGACAGAGAAGACAGGGAGATACCGAGGCATATCGGCGAGGACTTCGCTCAGCGGCACGGCATGTACTTCCTGGAAACTTCAGCAAAGGAGGCTGAGAATGTGGAGCGACTGTTTATGGAGATAGCTGTCGAACTGATGGAGGTATATGCATTGGATGTTATGACGAATGGCGATGAATAATGGCGAATGCTTGATTATAGTGCGTCTCCAGACGAGGTAGGCGGGGTGAGATATCAAAATAAGAACATAATTGGCGGCTCGTTGGTCTGACAGTTTAGTACACCGCTAATGGTGAAAATTGTATCCATGAATATATTATGTATGTATTTACAAAAAACGTATCTATGTTTTGTATCCATAGTCTAGTACCCAGTTCTACTCAGCTCGGGGTTAGATAACGCCGTGTGAATTGTCTAAGGATATTAAATTGACAATCGTTGATATGAATATAATAAATGTCAAATAAACGTGACGCAGACAAAGTTGCGCGGCTCAGCTAGTAAAAAGATAACTCATAGTCAAATGTACAAACGCCTGGTGCGTTTGAAACAACTGTAGAGACAGTGAACGTTAAGGAATATAAGAAATAGGAATTTAAATCCTGGTATCATTGTTTCAGCAAGCAAAATGCAAGGAGCTACCAAAATACGACGGCAGTTTAGGACCCATCAACGGGAAGACCACCTCAGTCGGTGACACTTCGTGCTGTCTGCGCTCGTAAACCTAACGAATTTATCTCATTGATTTTTATTATTTATAATGATTAGATTCCTTATTCATAAAAATGTAAAACTTTTTTTTTTGTCTTGGAGTTCTACAGCAAAAGACGTGTAGAAGTTATTTAATATATTTAAAATTTTAGTCCTTTTCAAAAAAGGAATAGCTAGTTTTTTCGACTTTTTTTGTATATATTGCGCCATATCTTCGCCAATTATTGTAAAAGGATTTAATATTTTTTTTATATATAAAAAAGTTAATTTTAAAATGGTTCTAGAAATATAATTTTTTTGTTTTACTTTTTTTATGAATAAGGCGTTATATGTGTTTCTGTAATAATGTCATCATGTGGGGGACTTTAACAATGCAATGTAAACCTTTATAATAATCAAATGGTTTTAACATGGACCATATGAAAGTAACGGTAGTATAGTGAAAAAGTACCCGCAATAGCTCTTTCTAATAAAGTTTAGTTTGGACAGGTGATTGAGAATATAACTATTGTAAAACTCTCGTTTTTAATATACATTATTTATATTATTAACTGGGTAAGACCCAAACACATGAATAATTATAATCGAGATAGGTAGGATTTATTTACCATAAAATTATTCGTGTTAAGACTCAGTTAATAATATAAATAATGAGCATATAACTATTCTAGAATTCGTGCAATTCGATTTTATATGTATAATAGAAAAAAGTACTTAGGTATTGTATAAACATATTTACCGCGAATGAAAAATACGGTAATAGAAAAACTCCCTATAATAGATCTCTCTGATTTCATTTAAATTGGACAGGTGATTGAGAGTATAGCTTTTTATATTCCAGAATTCATGAAATTCGGCTTTAAATGTATGACAGATAAAAATAATGTCCTATAATTTTTTTTATCCTACAAGGACATTTTAGACTTTTAAATCACTCATTACGGTGTCTCAGGTACTGCTTAAAATATATTTACCGTGAATAAAAAATATGGTAATAGTAAAAAAACTCGCCTAATATATATTTCTAGTTTGATTTAGTTTGGACAGGTCATTGAAATGTAATAAATTAATAGTAACCTACGATTTTTTATCCTAAAAGAGTCTGTTTCAAAGCCAGTTAACTGAGGTACTGTTTAAATTAAATTTATTACGAATATAAAGTATTGTCCTAGTTTGCTAACTGATGGAATATTTGCTATTACTATTGTCGAAATGTGATAGACTTGCAAGGTAAAAATTAGACAATACAATGTATTTGTCTGTTCCACCGCTGTGAATGTACGACGGTGTACTCGTTAATTATAGCTGTAAGCGCTTTGTTTACTTTTTAAACGCAATTTTTATAATAATATACATTTTTTTTCGTGCAATGTAAATACTTTTATATTTTTTAATTTTTCTTACTAAATTAGGTGCGATAGTGATGTAGTTATGTGTAGCTGTTTCGTTGTTGTTCTGAGGTAGTAGGTAGTGATGAAGTTGTAGTTAATTGAAGTGTGCTTATAACGAGAAATATTATGTTTAAATGAACAGTTTGACAGGCAATAACGTTACTAATATTATAAATGCGAAAGTAACTTCCTGTCGCGCTTTTACGCCAAATCTACTGAAACGATTAAAATGAAATTTGGCACACAGATAGTCCAGACCTGAGACAGGCTTTTTAATGCGACATATAGGTTGAAACGGGAGATGAAAGCTCGTATGGAAGTATCGTCATTTTTAAAACTTGAAACTTATTTTTAGACTGTTAATTAAACATAAATAACATTTATATCTCCCTTATATTGTATATCTCCCATTTAACTAAACGGGGCAAAGCCTTCAAACAGACAGGTCTTACCCTAATTAGTATTATTATTCTATTTTTGCCCGCGGTTTCACTCGCGTTAAATTTCAATATAAAATATAGCCTGTGTGTTATTCTGATGCATAAGCTATGTTACTGTAAAGTTTCATTAAAATCCGTTTAATAGTTTTTGCGTGAAAGAGTAACAATCATCAATATATTTAAACTTATGCGTTTATAATATTATTAGGATAAATACGATTCAATACCGCTTAAAAGCGATAGGTATTCAGATTGGTTTGTAAATGTTTTATGTCTCGTTGTAATTACCTTCAGTTATCTACTAAAATTCTATCTGTGATTGATTTAATTTGAAAGCGTTAACTCCAGGGTTGCCATTATGAGACTATGACATCCTTACAGAAACACGACATACTTTGTATTTCGTAGTATCGAGGTCATTCCACTCGCTTTAAGTGCTTTAGTGTTGTAACAGTGTCATTAATGTTATTTAAGTTTGTAACACACGACGTTGGCAGTGACGTACCTATAAGGCAAGCCCGTATTGAAGTCTGAAAACTCAAGTTCTGTAAGGCAAGCTTCTATTGAAAACTTGAGTTCTATAATATTCATAGAAAATATGTGAATAGGAATGAAATGATGTGGAGATATATATACCTATATGTATTCAATCGCCATCAAAAAACAGTATATACTGAAGCAAAAACTTTATACCCCTTTTTTTCTAAAATTGCTCGGACGGAAAAGTATGAAATTTTGCACACTTATAGTTTATATAGAGAAGTGCAGAATGCTCATATATTTTTAATTGTGCATAAAAATACATTAAAACTAATAAGAAAACATTACAAACACTATTGTACCATGTATTTGATATGCACGTATATCCTTTACTCCATTGTTTAATAGTCTTTGGATTCAATAGAACCTTAATAATGTTCAAACATATAATGTAAATTATGGTCGTATTTCAAGCACTAAACGATCACTAGTTTCTATAATTGGCTATTTTAACTTGGGTATGGGACAATTATTATAAATATCTAAGACAGGGCTTGCCTTAAGTTTAATAGTGGGGACGTCACTAGCACAGATATTCTGTTTTATCGATTTAATATATGGATATATTACAGACACTAACCGAATCCCAGTCTTTTGTATCTGTAAGCGTGGCGTCTCCTGTAATCCGGCTACTCGGAGGATGCTTTGAGGTTGGGAGTCCTGGTGCTGAGTGGCCCATGTTGAATGGACGTCCACACTAGGCCCGGTATTAATATGGACCCCCCCGGAATACTATGGGGGGGTGCAGGTTACAGATACAAAATATTGTACAAACTATATTACTAGTATGTTTGATACGATATAGCTACAGAAACTCCTAAATAATTCATATAGGTATAAATACAGATATCGATAAAATACATTACCTGTGCCCTGTGTAAAAACTATTTATATTGTAGAATTAAACCTAATTTATATTTAGAGTCAATTCACTTTAGTGTAGTTTTCAGAACCATATTTTTGCATATCAATGCCAATTGTATAGTGTTAATGTGACCAATATAGACTTACTTGCTTAAATATTTGGCTGTAGGTGGAGGATATGTAGGTATAGCTAAGGTAGTCCTAAGGAATAGCAACGTATTGGGGGACATCATGGACGTTACTCTAATCCCCTCTCTATCCCCCGTCCAATTCAACGGAGATCGAAATGACAACAGTCTGTACCGAGGTTCAAATCCCTAGTTCCCTACCCCTGCCCTCAGACTAAAGTCGTATCCGTCATGCAGGAGTTGGCCTTCAGCCGCTCCATGAGTCCTTCCGCGGGTTTGGAGTGCACACTCACCCACATTTTTGTTATGATGTAAAAGCCAGCTATTTGAAAATTATTTTCATTTATGCATTTACTTCTTGTAGAAAGTTTAGTTTCATAAATTGATAAAAACTTTCTCCTTAGGATGCAAGTTACGATTACCCCTTACCACAGAGTAAAAATGCATTTTATGCAAACACTGATTTCCTGTATACCACAGAATAAAAATACAATTTATGTAATAATAGATTTAGCTATGTACGGTCCATGATGTTTGTCTATATACGAGTTGGTTATGACTGTGCGGCTTATTTGCTATGTCCTATAGGTTAAAACATGTAAAGGGAAGGTAACTAATGCTCTTTTGATTCTATTTATTTTATTTATTATTTCAGTCTCATGGCATATATTATAAATACCTTATAAACTAACATGCATATGAATTAATATTATTAATATTCTGTGTGAATTGCAGTACTTAAAAAGATACTTACGAAGCCAAAGACGATTATGAAATTAAAAGATTCTTAAATGACAAATGTGTGTGGCATTAGTTGGTCACGTGTGATATTTTCGAATTTTACACGTAGCAAAGAAGTAAATTAGCAGATTTAATTTAAAAGAAGTGTATGTTAAACAAACTTATACTTTACTCATCATTTCAGTTAAATCTATCAACTCAGAGCCACAATTGCCTTCCCTGTCCTCCTCGAAATTGAAACAAAATTCATTTTTGACACTGTAACAACTGTATTAATATTAGCCGTTTTGTTATTAGGTATGTACTCGGACCTTTAGCGTACATTAGCCGCCTTGTGAAATGGTTAACTAGACTATGTGTAGGTTGTAAATTTGCTGAAATACTATTTTGTTGTATAGTTTATAGTAATACATAAAAGTTAGTAAATTAATGCAACGATCTCGACCTACCGCAGTTACAAGTTATGTTGCATTCATAAACTTCGTCAAACACCAAGGGAGAGAGGGTCGATAGTGTGATATTTATGAAAACTCAATTATGTTTCCAACGTGTTTTTTTGGAATTGTTGGAATACGATTATTCGTGTGAATAATCCAATATGATAACAATTATTAGTAATAATTAATTATTAGTTCTTGAGTTAGGTGAATAAATTCTAAAATTGCTTAAAGGAAAACTGACTGATTCAGTCAGTTTTCCTTTAAGCAATCAGAATGTTAGTTGGCTTATTCTGTATAACGTCACAAAACGTGCTATATAAATGTAGATAATATTTGTAACGCATGTTTTGTATGCATCGCACTACAGTACGTACTCTCTTAATGAGACCTCTTTTGTAATTTGATTTATCTTTTGCTCACTACACATGACAACGAAATATATATGAACGGTCAAGATATCCGTGGCACAATATTACATCCATACATTAAATGTGGCAGAATAAATGAGTTTCCAAGTTTTAATGTTAATAGTGTCGAAATGTGGGATTCTTTTAAATATAGGATATACAATCTTGTCTTACGATCATCTTCACTTACGATCTTATTTTAATTATAATTTAATTTTTAAAGTTATT